ACGAGAAAGGAGGAGAGACCGTTCAGTTCGGAGAGGAAGTACATGGCCGTGAGCGGGACACATACTTCACCGCCCCCGCCAGGCTCCGGGGTCCCGAATCCCAGTGTCGCGGCCCTGAGTGGTGGCGGCGGGAAGGAAGGGAGAGAGATGTGCTATATCAAAGGATCGATAGAGGCCATCCTCCCAAGATGCAAGTTCTATCACGTCTCCGACGAATCGACGCCCGCGCTCGATACGAACACGCGAAACGTCATACTCGGCAAAGCGCAGTCGACAGCAAGTCGGGGCTTGAGGGTCATCGCGATGGCTTATGGATCCGGCTCACTCAGCTCCACGTCCACATTCACTCCCAACGGCGACTCTCGATCCTCTTCCCCTGCACCGGGTGGTACTGCCGGTGGAGCGTCGACGGGACTGGAAAAGTCGAACCTCGTGTTTGTGGGGTTCACGGCGATGCTCGATCCGCCGAGGAAGGGTGTCGCGGATGCTATTTCGCTGTTGCAGTCGGGTGGAGTTCAGGTGGTCATGATCACCGGTGACGCGGAAGAGACGGCGATGTCGATCGCGAGGGATTTAGGGCTTAGAGTGCCGGGTGCGAGCGCCGGGCATCATCATAGTTCCAGTGCGAGTGGGCGTGTGAGAGGCAATGGGAGTCTAAGCGGGAATGGGAGTCTGAGTGGGAATGGGAGCCTGAGCGGAAGTGGGACTGTGAACGTGAACGCGGGGTTCTGTTTGACGGGGAGGGAGATTGATGGGATGAGTAAGGCGCAGTTGAGGGAGAGGGTCGCGGGCGTGAGCGTTTTTGCGAGGACGAGTCCGGGGCATAAGATGAGGATCGTGGAGGCGTTTCAGAGTCGGGGCGCGGTCGTGGCTATGACGGGCGATGGAGGTCGGTTTTCTTTTTCCTTCCTTTTCTTTTTTTTTTTGGTTTGTCAGCATGGTGTGCTGATACCGGGGCTCTGGATTCTGGAATCTTAGTGAACGACGCGCCGGCGCTGAAGATGGCGGATATTGGAGTGTCGATGGGCAAGAGCGGGACGGACGTGGCGAAAGAGGCGGCGGATATGATTCTTGTGGACGATAATTTCAGTACTATTTTACCTGCCGTGGAAGAAGGTCAGTATGCTCCATTCCTCTCACAGACCACAGCGCGCTGATAGATCTTCGTTTCTCCAGGCAAATCCATCTTCCATAATATTCAAAACTTCCTGTCCTTCCAGCTCAGCACGGCTTGCGCTGCTTTGTCCCTCATTACCCTCAGTACTATGTTCGGAATGAGCAATCCGCTTAATGCCATGCAGATTCTGTTCATCAACATTCTCATGGATGGTACGTCTTACTCTATCCAATCGACGGATGTAGGCTCACAATTGTTTGTGTAGGCCCTCCCAGTCAGTCATTAGGCGTAGACCCAGTAGACCATGCCGTCATGCGCAAACCACCAAGAAAGAAGAACGAGCCCATCATCAGCCAACGGATCCTCTACCGCGTCCTCTTCTCGGCGACTATCATCGTCGTCGGCACGTTATTCGTCTACATGTACGCCCTATCCGACGACCATATGTCGAGACGAGACCAAACAATGGTCAGTACCCTTCCCCTCTATCCTACATACATACAAAGACACTCACAGTTCTCGGCCACTCCCAGACCTTCACCTCCTTCGTCTTCCTCGACCTCGTCTCCGCCCTCCAGTCCCGCGGTCTCGGCTGCGGCCTGACCCAAAACCGAATGCTGCTCACCACCGTCTCCATCTCCTTCCTCTCCCAGCTCGCGCTCGTCTACGTGCCCTTCATGCAGGCGATATTCCAGACGGAGGCGTTGGGCATGAACGATCTCGTGTTGTTGTTGGCGCTGGCGACGAGCTCGGCGGCGTTGCATGAGGCGAGGAGGAGGTACGAGAGGACGAGTTTGGCGGGGGAGACGTATGCGAGTGGGGTGGAGGAGATGGCTTGAGGGCTGGAATGGGACGTGTCGGGGGTTAGGGCAGTGGTGGTTGGGCTTGGATAGTGCGGTGGTATTCATATCGTAATTATTGTGCATTTTTCGATGCGGAAGAAGTCTAGACTGTGGAATTTTTGGAAGGATAAAGCAATTTCCCTTGTCGTTCATTTCTGTGCTTGGTGCGCCTCGCTCGTATCGCATCCGAACAAGGCAAGCTAGCCATCGAACAGTCCCAATTTGAATTGCGGTTAATAAGTTCAGGCCCTCAACTCAAGGTTCGTCGTCAATGTCTATGCTCTCAGCGCGTATTGTATTCATATCCCACTTCAAGGAAATGGAAGACAGACGGCATTCTGGAAGCAGTCATGAACTCAGAGTTTATGTGGCGTGCGACATTCGTCCCAGGGCGCTAGTCCTTAATCACTCCCAGCGTTGCTGTCGGCCTCAAAAATAGATTCTTGCGCACGCTACAGTTCGCTACTCACTGTATACACTCGACTCTCGACCATCTTCCGCCTTCCACTGACCCTTGTCCGTTTTACTCTCCCCTTCTGCCGACATGGGCAAAGGCCATAAGTCCAAGAAGAACGCGAATAAAGGTAAAGGGAAGCCTGTACAGAAACATGACGGTGCAGAGAGCTCGCCCAACACTGGCCCCACTACAGTAATCACCTGTCGGACCTTGGAGGAAGATGAAGTCACTCAGTGCTTACTCCTAGCAACCGACGGATACCCAGAGCATGATCGCTGCAGGCTTCACCACAAGCAATATCGGACACTGTACGCGAAGTATAAAGAGGCTTCCAAGATCGTCGACGAGGTCAAGGCAGGCAACGAGATTCCGACCAAGGACGAGATCGCACGGTACAAGGATGTTCATGGTACGTCGGAGAAGGCGCGTTGGATACGCAAGTACCTGGAGGCGATCCGCGTAGAAAAGACTGGGAGAGAGATTCATACGAGACGTTTCTTCGGAAAAGGTGAGCGGGGTACCTTGCTATTTCTACGAATGGTGGCATTGCTGATGATGACTACTAGCTGATGACGGGCATAAGATCCGCGTGAACCTCCTTGCGAAGCGGATGGTGGAAGCGGTAGAGATCCTGGATGCTCTCCAAGCTCGGGCGTACCAGCTCAAGACCCAAGACAACGATGACCAGAAATGGGTCAAGGAGTTCCAGGCGTCTGCTCTTCCTGTGCACAACATGGTTGATGCCGACCTCCTTTCCGCTCAAAATATCGTCAATGCTGCTCAGTCCCGCCCAAAGGAGTCAGGACCTTCACCAAGAACTAGGCCAGCAGCTCGTAAGACTGGAAATGAGGACTCAGAGGACTCCGACCTGATTGACCTAGACATTCGAGCGTAAGTCAACAAGCCAAAACCTGATTTGCCCCTCTGACTCCATGATCTAACGCACGTGCAAAAGTCAAAAGGAGAAGCTCCTTTGGGCGTTCGAATACCTGATAAACCCAAACTTCGTGTACGATAGCCTCGACCACGATACACGTCGAGATCCTGAACTCGTCCGGCAAGCTACGCTCGCTCACCAGAGTCTAGTACACTATGCTCGCCGAGCTATCATTCACGAGCCAGACCTTTCCTTGAAGGCCATGGACAAGGTCTCCTTCAAAGATCTCCTCCTCAGCGACGATTTTTCCATGGAGGATGCAGCCAAGTTGGTCATCATGTTGGGAAAGAGGTTGGAGTTAGGTCTTCTCTGGTATAAAGATGCGGTGTTAGAAGCTATCATCATGTCGCCGAGCCCCGGACAATCAAGGAATGCGGCAAATATAGGCAATCCTAGTGAGTGCCCGCCCCGCCCCGTCTTTCCCTCTGACTTTCTATCATGGACACTGATGCGTTTGCTCTATATTAGGGGACCGTTACAAGGTTCTCGGTGGTTGGATATTTACGAGAGCTCACTCTATGTGCCTCTCAAACGAAGGGTGGTGGGTGGGTACATTACGGAAACGGCTTCATCTGTCATTTATTGGTACTCATCTACGCTTCATTCCAGATATTGTTACAGTCTTTAAACCCCCCGGCGAATATCGAGAATCGATTCGTCCGGCTCTGTAACACCTTCGATGATCTCGTCAGCTTTCTTTCCTTCGCAGCGTTAGGAATGATGCCGTGCCCATCTTTCTGCACCGAAACTCGCTGCGACCCCAACAGCGACTCTCGTGCATCTCGCAATCACTTATCGCTATGCGGCATTGTCGTAACGGAAATTATTACAGGCGCTCCAATGGCGCCGTACCGCACAGGACCCGTACCAGCTCCTGCTCTTCGGAGTGGTAAACCTGGATGCATCACCTGGGCTGAAATAGAGAAGAGAGCTTATATGTTTGGGGCTGTTCGGAACGAGCCAGATGCGTTCACAGACGCATTCCTCAAGGAGCTGCGCGCTCGCCCAGATCTTTTTCAAGTCATCACTCGATCGGAAACGGACCCCAACAACACAGTTGACATGTTCGGAGCGAAGGAAGGCGAAGATCTCCTACCCGCGATGCGCACACGGACCTTCGAAGCACCCATGGCGACGTACAGCAATCGACCGCAAGGGCGAGGGGCTTGGAAGGTGGAGAGGTCGGCTATGGATGTGCTGTACTCAACGAACGGGCCCATCCGCGGCTATCTCGCCAGCTTGAACCAAACCAAGAGCGCGGGTTGATTCTTTCATTTCAAGAAGATGCCCGTCAAGTACTTCCTGATCCTGGATACCGTGAATGGGCGGCCTCATTCGATTTTGTCGAGGAATGTGGCGTGGGCGGCTCTTCGAGCTAAAGGGTTGGCGAGTGGCGAGTATAACGCTCGCGCGTATGCGAGAGCATCTGATACTTTGTTCCAGAAATGCGCTGAGGAGAGGCTTTCGTGGATGCCTAAGGGCCTTGGAGGGTGGCACGCGACGAAGATGGAGGACTCGCTTTGAGTGCCATGTCCTCCAGCTAGTTATCGCCGGGCTTCATGAACGCGCAAATACTTGTGCATTGCGTATGTCAATTTCAGCTTACATCTATCTCGGTATCTGACACGGCCCCGCTGCTACTAGCTATGCCTACGATACTTTCCGGTTGGGTCAAAGTTTACGACTACAACAATCATGATCTAACCTGGACAAATCCCTTGGATGTTGTGGTTCTCCGCTCGCTATGCTGAAAAGACCGGGACGGCTGCTCTTGTATTCACGAGACACATACGTGTTCGTTCTTGATGACTCGATGACTAGGACCGTTCCGACAAGAAGCTCTGAACAAATGTTGTCCATGTTTATACAATCATGACTTCTGCACGTCGTGTATACGGCCACGCCATGTACGGGAGATCTACGATCCTTTCAATGTCCTTCACCAGACTATCCTCATCTCCTATCAAATCCACCTTATGGACCGAACTTGCGCAAGGCCATGTCTCAGGCGGAACGAACTCGTTCTCGGAGTAGTCAGACCATTCTGAATCCGGCGTAGATTGTATGATTGGCCGGCAACGATCATCTTGTGGCGGTGGCGAATGGACGACCGACTTTGATCCTTTCGATCGAATTGCGCCCTATCATAGTCCGCATTTTCTAACAGATCGGGGACCACGGCGCGAAACTGTCTCCTCCAGTACGCGTAGTCGGGAGCCTCGTTGAAAGCCATCGCTCGTGCGTACTCGATGAAATCGCCAAAAACAGAGGGGTAGCCAGCGCAGATATGACAGTACCGCATATACTTGCATTAGTTCGAGGCGGGAGTGTGTAACGTTAACGGATCGCGCCAAGGTTTTGCCAGGCCGAAGTCGATGAGATTGACTCTTCCTTCTTTCGGCGGCAGTCCGAATAGAAAGCTATCAGGTTTGATATCTCCATAAACAATGCCTTGAGAGTGTACATATTCAATTGAGTCAAACTGCGCTGTATTAGTAGGTTCGAGGTTTAGAGGAGAGATATTATCCACCATCTGGCATGTAAGCGCGATCAAGTTCCTCACAGTGAGGTTTTTCCATCAATCTCGATACAGGGCCCTAGAAGCTCAATCGCAAGATACTCATACCATTTCGATTTCCCCCATGCATATAGTTTAGGGATGCTCGAGTGGTCTGTGGACATACGACTGTTGGGAGCAGAGAATGATTCGGCGGTGGTGACACACTTGCCTCTCATCTTGAACAAGACACAGGCCTCATGGCGGAGAACAGGACTGATCACCAATTTGGTTGTACGTGCCTTCTTCAAGGCGATGAGTTTCTGTGGTGAATTTTCGTTTCTCATGAGGGCGCGGTAAACCTTTCCTGATATCAGGAGCGATGCGAAGTGACGAAATATCAGACACGCATCGCAACGTCCGTATATGTTGGGATTACAGGCCATATCCACCCTCGCCCATTGCTTGTCGTTCACAAAGTTCGAGGTGCATGATTAGCCATGAAAGGAGAAGTTGAGAGAAGGCCGTGGTGGCTTGTGTAGGAAGCGAAGCTAAGAACGATTTTCGTCCTGGTTTACGAGCAAGACAGCCGGGTCGGAACAGCCATATCCGGTAGAACAGTAACCAAATAAAGACAAACAACGAATGCGAACGGTCGAGTCATGTGCTCTCGTCCCCAAATTCTGATCCTGCGCTGACTCGGTTTTCTGAGCCTCAGAGAGTTATTTCGCAACGATTTCAGCACTGTATCTGTCTCATTATCATCAACACCACGTGTACTGGGATTTTTCAAGTTGACCATGACAACGTCTTGCGTCGTTTCCGTTTTCCAAGTAAACGAACATTTCAAGTTACTGCCACGACGATACTATTACAGTATCCATTGGCATTGTGTTCGTAGATCTTAATACTCAGTCTTACCGAGCTTGCGTCACATATGTGTGTATGCACCAGGCTTATGATACGGACCAGGTGCATTCTCGTTCACCGTCCAGCCCGTCATGCCTTGCCCAAGCCTCGCCTGGCGGGCGTCATGTATCTCTATGATAAAGTTTTGGTAGCATGAAGGGTTTCCCGGTCTTTACGAAGCGCTGGTACTGACAACACAAGGCATTTAGTCTGTGTTTGTCATTCGTCCCTTTTATCTATCCTCTTCCTTCCATTCGACTAGCCTCCCCTCTGCGAAACATGGAGCGTGTATACGCAACCGTAGCGGCTTCGTTCATTTTCTTTCATGTCATCCGCACCATCTACCGACGCCTCTTGAGGTTTGGTATATCTGACATCCCTGGCCCATCATCTCCATCGTTTGTCTACGGTACGTTCATCTCCACGACTACAACATGGTCAAAATCGTTTGACCGACATCTGACTCGTTAATTACACCCAGGAAATCTTCTTCAAATATTTCAAGAGCAAGCTGGTACCTATGATTTTGCGTGGCAGGAGGAATTCGGTGGTGTATTTCGTGTTAGGGGTCCTTTTGGAGTACGTCCGTCGGTCCACCCACACTTCTATTTACCATGCATTTATGGATAGGATGACCGACTCATGATATCGGATCCCGAAACCCTGCATTACATGTTCCACACATCTGGGTACGATATAATCAAGCAACCTGAACGTAAGGAGCTCTCCCGCCTCCTCACCGGGAGGGGTCTCATTTGGGCGGAAGGTATTTCTTTCGCTCTCACTTGTCACCGTCATCTAACCTCATCTCTGGAGGCGATGTACACAAGAGGCAGCGAAAAGTCATGAATCCTGCGTTTGGGCCTGCTGAGGCCAAGGCCTTCTTTCCTGTCTTTCTCGAATACGCAAACCAGGTGGGAGTGCGCTCTTTCTCTTGACATTGTTGACTTAGTGAACCTTGAATATAGTTGGTTGTGAGGTGGCAAGACATTATAGCCGAATCTTCCGAAGGTGGTGCGGTCTTCAATATACCAAACTGGCTTGGACGTGCGACGATGGATGCTATAGGCGTTGGTGAGTCTCAAAAAAGAGGGCTACTTCCAAACTATACCACTTGCGCTGATGTGAATGCGACATGCCAGCGGCATTCAGTTATAGGTTCGGGATGCTGTCTGACGGCGGTAACGAGCTGGCGAAAGCATACAACAATATCCTTCAGGAAACTCATGGCAGAGCATCACCAGGCCGAATTTTATTTCAGAATGCTGCACATCTCATCCCCCTCCGTGTCATCGAGTGGATCACCGACCATGGAAAAGCAAAACCTATCACCCGAGCTCGAGAAGTCACTGCTATGGCCAATCGAGTAGCAGACGATCTCCTCGCTCAGCAGTCCGAGGCGGTATTACAGGGCAGGAGGAGCAGAGATATTATGAGTTTAGTAGGCAAGTGTATATACTTTCCATATACCCTCACGATCTCATAGAGATTTTCGACAACCGCTAGTTCAAGCAAATCTATCCGAGGATAAGAAGTCTCGAATTGATAAAGACGAGCTCTATTCACAACTAAGGTTCGTTCGTTTCCCTTGTCGTTCACACACAGTCGGGCTGAGCAAGTCTGCAGAACAGTGATGCTTGCAGGATACGAGACGACATCTAATAGCTTGAGTTGGACACTTTACGAATTAGCGAAACACCCTGATCTACAGACACGACTTCGTTCTGAGATATTGCATACCCAAGGACGAGTCAGAGCAAGAGGAGACGAATTCTTTTCCTTAGCTGATTTCGACGATATGCCGCTCACTACTGCTGTCATCAAGGTATCTTCACTTTTGCTAAGATCGACACCGATTGGCTACTGAAGGTCTACCCCAGGAGTCTCTCCGGATGCATCCCGTCGCACATCAAATGTACCGACAGACGTCCAAGGACGACATTTTCCCCCTCAGCAAGCCTATCCGGATGCTATCCGGCAAATTAGTCCACGAGATTTTTGTGCCGAAGGGTACGCGCCTCATCGCTGCCGTTGCGGCTTACAATCGGTACGTTGGAAAATATGCTCATTCATAGTTGTTTGCAGCGACACTCACCGAATCCTTCATCCTTTTGAATGGTTCTGATCAGAAACAAGGCTGTCTGGGGTGCAGACGCCGATGTATTCAACCCTGAAAGGTGGATTCAATCTCCGGATGGCGGACGTGCGTCAGGCGCCGCACCTGTTGGTACCTATGGCAACCTGTCAGTAGATTTCTGTGTCATTCACTTTCCATTTCTCACGTCTTTCCAGTATGACCTTTGGCGGTGGAGTGAGAGCATGCATAGGATGGAGGCTTGCGTAAGTGTTCTGGTATCGACACTGTGGCGCAATATCATACTGACGAGAAACCTTAAATAGCGTTGCGGAGATGCAAGCGTTCGTTGTTGAGCTCGTCGGCAGCTTCAAATTCTCTTTGACGGAAGAAGCGAAGAACATCAGGAGAGACGTGGCCCTGGTCATGATTCCCACCGTCGAGGGCCAGATTGACAAGGGGATGCAGCTGCCTCTGAGAGTGACCTTAGCTCTTGAGGAATGAGCGGAATTCATCTGACACGAAGTGATCATGTTATATACTGGTTCGTTCTCTTATTGCGAAACTGTTGGGCTGATGACATGAGCAGAAGCATTATCCATCGGTATCAGGTTGGATTTCAATTCTCAGTCTGACCGTACGTATGAGCTAGCATTATGATACGACCAGGTATATTCTCGTTCGTCGTCCCACCCGCCGACCATGCCACCTCGCCCGCCAGTGACTCGTCATCATATAGTCAAGTTTTGGTAGTATTGAGAGGTTCGCTGTCTCCACAATGGCACCGGTAATACACAGACATATATCTGTACCATCCATAGGCATCTCGCATATGAGGAAAGCAGTTATGAGCTTAGAGTTTATGTGGCGTGCGACACCCAGGGTGCTAGTCACTAATCACGCTGTTGCTAGCCCAAGAATAGATCCTTGCGCACGTTACTACTCACTGTAAGCCCTCGATCGTCTTCGAACTTGCGCTGACCCCTGTCCGTTTCTACCTGCCCCTCCGCCGACATGGGCCCCAAAGGCAACAAGTCCAAGAAGAGCGCGAACAAAGGTCAAGGGAAGTCTGTACAGAAAAATGACCTCGCTGCCGCCGACAGCTCGACCAACACTGGCGCCACTACAGTCATCACCTGTCGGACCTTGGAGGAAGATGAAGTCACTCGATGCTCACTCCCAGCGACCGACGGATACCCAGAGCATGATCGCTGCAGGCTTCACCACAAGCAATACCGAACACTGTACGCGAAGTATAAGAAGGCTTCGGAGATCGTCGACGAGGTCAAGGCAGGCAACGAAATTCCGACGAAGGACGAGATCGCGTATTACAAGGACGCACATAGTACGTTGGAGAAGGCGCGTTGGATGCGCAAGTACCTGGAGGCGATCCGCGTAGAAAAGACTGGAAGAGAGATCCATACGAGACGCTTCTTCGGAAAGGGTGAGCGGGGCGTCTTATAATTTATGCAGCATACATTGACATCGCTGATGGTGACTAGCTGATGATGGGCATAAAATCCGCGTGAACCTTCTAGCGAAGCGGATGGTGGAAGCAGTCGAGATTCTAGATACCCTTCAAGCTCACGCTTACTATCTTCGGAACGCAGACGATCCTGCGCATGACTCGCTCAGGCTCTTCCAAAGTTCTCCTCTACCGACCGATGGTCAGGACATCCCAAAAAATCTTTTGGAGTCAAAGAGCATTATCGATACGGTCCAGACTACGCAAATCAAACCATCACTTCCACGCAGAGCACTGAGTGCCACTCAGGCCGACCAGGCGGAAGATACGGATTTGATTGACTTGGAGCATCGAGCGTATGTGAAGTTTTGCCTTTCTGAGAGAAGAACCCTGACTGATATCCTTGTGTGGTTATTCGTTCTGAAAGTCGCAAGGAGCAACTACTTCAAGCGTTTCGGCCATATATCGATCCAGCATTTGCGCGACGCCTTATCAATCCCGCGGAGAGCCAAGATCCCACACTTAGACGGTTCACGACCATTATTCACCTCGCCGAAAAGCAATACGCACTTCGTTTTATTCTTCATGACCCAATTCTCTCCTTGAAGGCCGCGGACAAAGTCTCTTTCAAGGATCTCATCTTGGATGATGATTTTTCGATGGAGGATGCTGCCAGATTTTTGAACATATTCACGAGTCGCATGGCGCTGGGCCTTCTCTGGTACAAAGATTCCATTGTGGAAGCCCTCGCGATTTTGCCTCGCGATGGCAAAATTAGATCTACTGCCAATGTTGGCGATCCGAGTAAGCCTCAGTCCATTTTGTACTTTCTGAGGTGAAAGTCTGGTATACTTAGCATAACGATGCTGATTACTAAACCCAGAGGATCGTTACAAAGTATTGGGTGGTTGGGTTTTCACTAGGACCCACCCTGGACGGTTCTCAGACGAAGGCTGGACCGTGAGTACATTTGAACAAATCCCTGTTCTTTGAGGTTCATCAGACGCGCCTTAACATTGGCTGGCTATAAGGTGCTATTGAAGGAATTACAGCCCCCTGCAAACGTCGAGAATCGCTTCGTTCGACTTTGTAACTCTTTCGACGACATCATTAGCTTCCTTTCCTTCGAAGCGTTCGGTTTGGTCCCACCCCCGACATTCACTAAAAGCGAGCTGTACGATCAGTATAACTCCTCCATCACTCGCAACCATCTCTCTCTCTGCGGTATTATCGTGGCGGACATGGTCAATGGCACTCCATTCTTTTCGCCTCCCCCAGGTCCTATCCCCACCGGACTACCTAGCAAGACTCCGGGGTGCATCACTTGGGCGGAGGTGGAGGGGCGATCTTACATGTTCGGTGCAGTTCGGAACGAACCAGACGCATTCACGGAAGCGTTTCTCAATGAATTACGGGCGCGTCCTGATCTATTTCAGGGCCTTACTCGCTTAGAGACGGATCCTGGCCGTCATGTCGAGGCTTTCGGTACACACGAAGGAGAGGATGAACCCCCATGGCAGACACGATTACGCACTTTCGAAGCACCGAGGGCATCGTTCCAAAGTCGCCCACAGGGACGGGGCACCTGGAAGGTCCAATTGTCAGCCATGGATTTGCTGTATTCTACGACCAAGGTTCACGGATTCCTCGCAGGCCCGAGACCGGACGGAACACGTTGGTTTTTCAGCTTTAAAAAGCCTGAGATATCAGTCAAGTACTTCATTATATTGGACACCATTCCCACCCGACCGCATTCAGTTTTGTCGAGGAACGTGGCCTGGGCAGCACTTCGCGCCAAGGGCTTTGCGAGCGGAGAGTATAGCTTGCGCAAGTATGCGAGGGCGTCGGATGCCTTATTCGAAAAGTGCATGCACGAGAGAATGTCTTGGGCGCCTATGAGCTGGAGGACAATGACGAAGATGGAGGATGAGATCTAGGTGTCGTGCCCAGTGGGCTCAAAGATGGTATGGGGATGTTCTTTGTTTTCCCAGAGTCCTCTCTAATCTGTCAGGCAGCAGCTCTCATGGTCTTTATTTTCGCTTGATAACGAAAAATAAGGTAACGGTATGTTTCTTTCTCCAGCGCTACGTTCATACTCACTGTGTTCTCTTCAGGTTCCAGACGATATCACGAGCCTCTTCTTCTGCAACTACTATGCAATTATGGATTTTTTTCTTTATGCTTATGATTAAAGGAACCGTATGTTAGTAGTCCGGGTCTGCTATGTACAGTATATAAGTATCTTGCGGCATTCCCCTCCAATTTTCAAGACAGTTGATCCGTTATGTTCTAAGTCAGCTGGTCTTCTGTCGTTGGGTAGTGTGTCATTCCGAGTCTCCTAGAGGCTACTAGTTCTGACTGCTGGCATGTATAACAGATAGCTCAAAGCTTGAGATTGAGATTGCTGATACGATTTGAAGCGAGTGCGTTTAGACAATATATGGCCAAATGCGTCATAAAACGTAATTTCAACACGGTAGCAGGGCAACTAGAATGAGATCGTACATGGGGATGGCCTGCCGGTCCATAAACAGTAACAGTGCGCTGGCTTCATGCAGTTACAGCAAGAGCGCGAAGCATGCGGAAAACGTAACCTCGTGCAACGATCAAGGACCGTTATCGAACTTCGTTCCGTCCATACGAACGCCCATATTCTGCTTTACCTCCATACCTAAGAGCTTCATCTTTCCAGCCTATTATAGGGTTGGAAGGTATTCGTCAGTATGGACAACGACGAGAAGGAGTCAGCCATAAGATTTCGAACAACGCACCTCGATACGTTCTTGTTGTACCTTCCTGAGCGCCTGGAGTTGGTCCTTGTTGAGATAACTGTCATGTTCGACAACAGTCCGCTTGTGTTTGCTCTGGATGTCGCGCATATCGGCTGTCGGATCATAGCCATCCTCCGCCGGCGGTACATATTCGCCAGAACGAAGAGCGTTCATGCGTTTCTCGTATGCCTCCATATGATAGAACTTTTCGTGAGGGAGGGTCGCTAGATATATCAAGAGGAGTAAGCTCATAGCACTTCATAGAGAATGATACAGGGAAACGAACCAGTGTTGAAGTCCTCGACAAAACGAGCGAATTCCTTTTTGGTTTGGTCTTTCGTCATAGTCTCGGGGTTGAGCATGCGTTCCTCCACGAGCCATGCCCGGAACTCTTGGTCCTTGTTGTACAAACTGTAAATGTGGCATGCATGAGCGGAGGAGGGCACGGGAAGGAGCACAATGAAAAAGCGTTTACGAACTCGGTTTCACTGATGATTCCATGCTTTCCCCACTCTCCGCCGCTCGCCAAACCATGCTTCTTCTTCTGAAGCAATCAAATCATACCACGGAGAAGATCAGCATATACTCCAAGTTATGAATCATTCAGATACGCACCTTCTTGTCTTTCTTCTCCTTCTTTCTCTCCTTCTTCTCCCTGTCCCTGCTCCGACTTCTTTTCCGATGCTTATCTTTCCTCTTCTTATGCCTCCTTCTATCCTCCTCTGACGAATCCGAGGACATCGAGCTTGACCTCGACCTCCTCCGTTTCTCCCTACTCCTGTCCTTCCGTTTCCTATCCTTCTCTAGTGAAACTGACCGCGACCGCGACCTCCCTCTGTCCCAATGATGCCTATGTCTTCTATGACTTCCCTCGCTCGAGACCGACCTCTTCCGCTCTCGGCGCCTCTCGCTGTCCTTGTCTCTCGAACGTGACCGCGATCGGCGACTACTCCTAGCAGGCGACCGTTCTTTCTCCCTTTCTCTACGACTATGTCGGTCGTCATCTCGCTCTCTCGACCTTGACCGATCTCTGTGAGAATGGTGACGGTGTCGCTCCTCTCGATCGCGATGGTCGCGCCTGTCAGGTGACACCCGACGGCCTAGCGAGAGGTGTGGCGGTACGTCGTGACCGTCTCGGGCAGACATGACGCGAAGAGGTTGTCAGGGACTTTAAGTATGTGTCTCTAGGATAACAAAGCAGACAAAGCCTAGAGAATGCACAGAGAATGTCGTGGTACAAGCGAAGAGCGCGAGCGGTTGTTTGGATCAGAAGCTTTTGGCAAACAAATGACGTAATGTGCACTCCGAGTGGCGTTGTGGAGACATGCTTCTAGATCTGATGAGGCAAAACATTTGCAAAACATTATAATGTTCAACACTGCTTAAGTATCGTCATGACTGAAAAATAAAGACAGCAATGGGAGTCAACAACAAGAAGGTTTAATTGCTGATACCTGGACTGCGTCCTGTCTGCATGGTGCCACAGTTCCTGCGCCACTCCTGAATTTGCGCTGAGCGTTTCCGGGCTTCTCCGATTCAGAGCGCGCCGGCCCGGGAGGACTTTGTCTCCTTGAACTTTCTCCCACTCTTTCCCGATCGTCAATGTGTCAACGTCAACAACTGCCTATGACTGTCCTTTTCCATCTAAGAGTTTGTTATAAGCTCTTTTCGGCCATCTTAACTCCACAGTTCCGTAACGTCGGCATATGAACCCACCGATGCTCTCGACCGCTCTCGACACAAGTCTCTACGGCGGGTTTCCTCCCGCAGAGGCTCTCGTGAACAACGATCCCCTGATCCTCCTCCTCCCTTGCTCTTCCAGCATGTAGAGACATCAGGCTTGGATTTCAAACTTGACCAAGACTTGACATACGAAAAGAAGGACTTCGCGGGAAAATGGTCAGCGCGTCTGCCTCATGTCCCTCCTCCCTTATGAGGGTATTAACCATGGGAGAAGATCCTCTGTTGGAGTCCGATTCAGGTCCCTGGTAGTGGACGCTATTTTTCTGCTTCTCCAGCACTTTTTGCGTCCATGGTATGTCAATCTATACCCCTTTTCTCTCGTTCTACAACTCACTTTTGAAAAATGTCTCTTTTTCCAGCGCGGACACTGTCATGCTGCGGTTTCAATCCTTGAGAGGATGCAGATTCAGCGCAGTTCAACCAGCCGAACATATCTGAACGCCATATGTACAAATGTGGCCCATTACTCAGGTTACACCAACGTGCCCTGATGACTTCGTCGCGAGATGGAGTTCCACAGTCCATTCCGGCATATCCGTCTCCCATGTTCTGACGGATGCGCACAGAATATGCAGGGGAGATTTGGATCATCCTCTACCTTAGCCCATAACATCCCCACCTCTCATCGGAATTTGCAGAACCGCGGCGAGACCGGCGGCGTCGTCGGGCATGTCATGCTCTCCCGCTACACTTTTACGAGCCTTGGCGAAGATCAGGGACCTGCTTTACGAGCTGTGGCGAAGATCAGGGACCTACTTTACGAGCTGTGGCGAAGATCAGGGACCTGCTTGGCATGGTAAGCTCCCTCGTGAGGCTTGAAAGCGCTCTGCATGACTGAGTGTGGCATCTCGTGCCCAGATGAGACCAGAGCGTAGATGTACGGGTCCGAATCGATCACGCAGGCGTCGGAGTGGCTGTGGTGACATCCTTTCTCCCCGTGGATAGGTACCTTGACCGAGTTCCCGGTCGGACACCACCATACATTGTTCACCGTTGCATTTCCTCGACACCTCCTCTCATTTCGTGAGTAGGCGAGTACTTTTGTACTTTACCGTATGCGATGGGCTAATAACATTTTGAACCAGGCGCTCTGCCTAATTCTGCATTGCTGTCGCGCGAGAGGACGGTGGGAGAGGACGTCCTTCTTTTCCGTCTCCGTGTGACTTCGCCACATCGACTGACCTGGTTTGGCTATCCCAGGCCAGCGGCCCTGATCATCATAGTGATCGATCTGCAGAGAAATGCGGATGTAAGGTCGAGCACTGCTCCAGTTAACATCCGCACTCATAACGTAACATCCGGCGCGGATGTTTCACATTCCACGATCGGATATACTCGCCATGGCTCCCTCATCCACAGAATTCAGCGCACTTCTTTCTCACCATCTCGTTCTCTCTTCTTCTCCCCAGCTTGACCCTCTAAACATCCCATCTTCATCGTTTCAATCATGGCCGACTCACCACGGGCCCCTGAGGCCTCGTATTTCGCGACGCCTGTGTGGAAGACTAAATCGCAATTCGATTCGCCAGCCATGTCCACCCCTGGCTCTCCTGGGACGCCTGGGACGCCCGGAACACCTCACGAAGGCAGCGCGTTCCTCCGAGAGAAGCCTTTCGAGCCGCGCGATCTCAAGCGCTCGTTGTTCCAGTTGAAGAAGCCAAGTCCAGTACGTTGTCATTGACCTCTTTTCGCTTCTCCTCCATTCACGTCCAAAGCAGAAGAATCTGCCACCATATCCATGGGCGAACCACGGGCTCGATCATCAGTCCACGTCGTCTATGGACACCAAGTATTCCAAGGAATCCGTCGAATCCTCCTGGGACGGACACTCAAAAGAGGCCTCTTCATCGTCGTTATCGGACAGCCATTCGATCAAGGAGAAAGACTTCGCCACGACTTTCGTTCGAACCGAGTTGGAGCCAATCGAGGAGCCTTTCGACTGGGACCCCACCACCGAGGGCAAGATCCGCGGCGGCAGCTTCCACACGGCTCGCTCGACTCTCAGTGCTGACGTGGACCCTAGGAACCGTCTCTCCGGCTCTTTTCATTCATTCGATGACGATGTCGTCTTCGACGAGGACGGCGACGAGGTCCCGCAAGTTCCTGCACTTTGGGCCGAGGTCGACCCGCAGATCCCCACCGGTATCGCGAACCCGTCCATGGTCACACTCCCGACTGGAGTTGGCCCCACCACGCATCCGTGGGTCGAAGCGCCTCCGTTCAATGTCTTAGACCGCCCGAAACCCGTGATTCACAAGTTTCGAGCGACCTTCAAGATCACGATATCGTTGGCTGTTGTCATCTCTTTGGTCGTCGGGTACGCAGTCAAGTTGAAGATCGTCACGGTCGGTTTCTGGTCCTTCGGAATGTATGGTTTGCTTCTTTGCATCGGTGCGTACTGCATTCGTTTCTCTTTTGGATCATTTAACTGACATCGATCTTTAGATTTCGCCGTTCAGGCATCGGTCGCTTCCATTAATCGTCGTCGGGTGAACAAGATCTCGAAGACTTCCGATGTCGTCGCAGAAGTCGAAAAGCTCAAGGCGCTCAAGGCTGCCGGTGAAGATATCACGGAGCAGGTGGCTAGAATGCGACAGGTTTCTATCGCGGTGGTTGGGTACAGAGAGGACGAGGAGGCTTGGATCAAGGTACGTCTCCACGTCAATTCTATCGTGCTCGCAACATATACTAATCGACTATCGTGCAGTGTCTGCAAAGTCTCCAGGCTCAGGATTATCCCATCAAACACATCATCGGTGTCGTGGACGGAAACGACGGTCCCGACTTGGACATGGCGACTGCATTCGGCAAAGCCTTCCCCGAAAACGAACGTCTTATCGTCCATCTCCCCGTCCTCCTTTCCGTCATGTACACCGAGAAGTATTGGGAGACGATCAAGGAGATGGGCTGTCATACGCCCACGCGCTGGGAGTTCTTCAAGATGTGGTTCACCCAGGCGCCGCGCGAGGGACAGGAGGAGGCTCACATCATCGCTTGGAATCACATCCTCGCGTACGTTCACGAAGCCGCGACCGCGGGCGGATGGGCCAACTGGAAGGGGATCTGTTTTTCGCAGCCGCACGGACACAAACGCCACGCCATGTTCACTTCCTTCGTCGTCGGCGCTTATGCACTCGGTACCAAGGACGCGATGCTTACTACGGACAGCGACACATACGTTCACCCCGATGCGGTCACCCATCTCCTCGCCCTTCTCATGAGCGACGTCAGGATGGCCGGCGTCACCGGCGATGTCCGTATCTGGAACAAAGATGATTCTTTCTTGGCCCTCATGTCGTCACTGCGGTACTGGTTTGCGTTCAAGTGAGTTTTGTTTTCGCGAATAGTATCGATTTGCTCTAACGTTTCTTTTTCAGCGTCGAGCGAGCTTGCCAGAGCGGTTTCCGTTGCGTCGGGTGTTTGTCTGGTCCCCTTGGCCTCTACAAGACGAGCGACCTCATCAGCGTTCTGGGCCCGTGGATTCTACAATCATTCCTCGGCAAGGAGACCACCTTCGGCGACGATCGTCATCTCACCAACCGCATCCTATCTCTCGGCCATTGGACCGGCTATTCGCATCTCGCCAAGTGCGAGAGCGATACGCCCGCTGGTTTCGTACGCTGGGTCAAACAACAGACACGCTGGTCCAAGAGCTTCTTTCGTGAGGCGTTTTGGTTCCCGAAGAGTTTCGCGTATGCCCAGTTCTGGCTCACCGTCGAGACGACCAAGCAGTTCATGTATCCCGTCATCCTGTCTGCTACCGTCTTGAAGCTGGTTTACCTCCCGAGGGACTGGATCTACCCCCTCCTCTGGTTGGGGACCATGTTCGGTGTCGCCCTCATCAAGAGCACTTACGGCGTAATCTGTATGCGCGATCCGACGTACTTCTTGTTCAGCATTTACGGGTTCATGGTAAGCTCGTTCGTATATCGTATCATTTTCCACGCTCATCACCCTCTAGTACTTCTTCGGTCTTTTGCCGTCGAAAATTTTCGCAGGCTTGACGGTGGGAATCACGACATGGGGTACATCTGCACGATCGAAAACCGAGGTCCAGCGTCCCGAGAGTTTCTATTCGCGCACAACGCACATCGGACAGTGAGTACCCCCTATCAGCTAGACATTTACCGTGTCCTCACCCTCGTATCCTAGTTTGGTCCTTTGGTACACCGCCCTCGCCGTTGGCCTTGCGTACTTCCTTTCGTCGATCTTCCAGATCCCCGCAATCTGGTGTCTATCGTTGCTCTGTTTCCCTTCCATCGTGCATCTCTACCAGGACGTGATCATCGGCGAATCCCGCTACGCCCTCTACCTGCTGAAGAAGTGGTACAAGAAACGCGTGGCCAAGGGTACCACCGCCGGCGCCATCGACCTCGAAAAGGCACAGTCAGCAGGAAAATCCCGCGCAGGCGGTACAGGTTTCAGAATGCCGACTTTCGGATGGAGGACCCCTGCTCCAGCTATCTCCTTGACCTCCGCATCATCACTCCAGTTGCCTTCGTCGCAACAATCGACGTCACGGTCTACGTCTCCCTCGTCTATGACACGTTCGTCGTCGTCGGCGCATGTTCATATTCCATCTACGATCATCGAGGGTGAGGAGGACCCTGTCGACTCGGGACGCGGAGGCTCTATCGCCCTTAGCAGCATAGACGAACACGATACCGTCGCTCCCACGGGCATGATCGCGTGGGTAGAGGAGTCGACGGCAACTGGCAAGAACGTTTCGAACAGTGGAAGATCAACCGCATCTGCATCTTCCACCAACTCTCTCAATCCACGCCGACCATCCCTGTTCTCCAGCTCGAGCACGAATACTATCATCTCGTCTTTAACATAGTCGATATTCGTGAAGAAAAGCCCGTTCGCTGCGGGATTGGCTCGAGAGGACGGGATATTTGTGTATGTGTTCGAGGCGATAGTGATGAAATCTTTCATGAATTATCATTAATAATGTAATATATCATGTATGACCCTTTCCTTGCCCGTCGTCATCAACGCATATGTATCATCCATGTATCATAAATCACACACGTTCTTCAGTTCCCTTGAGTCCCAAAAGAAAGTAGCCGCTGTTTTCTGCCTTACAATTCGCGTGAAAAGTCAATATTAAACCTGGCTATCCTTGTGTATATTCGCTCTGATCTTCACCAGCGCCCTACTACTTGTTCTGCGGTGATACTCGGGCAGGCACCACAAGCCCTCTCGGTTCGCCATTATTCTCCACGATTAACGGTGTTCTCCTTCTTTTTCACTCGTTGATATCCTCGTCGTCGATACGTAGAACTCTGGTCGGTTCGTGACTGCCATTTTTTTAGACTGACGATTGACGTAGGCTGAGGGAATCATCTGGTGGCACTAGCAAGAAGGGAGCTGGCGTCGTGGTGTAAGCTACTAGAGCACGGAATACTGTGAGATGATTCCCAGCCAAGTACGGGAGAAGGTTGGGGCAGAACTTACTCGAATCAGCGCAACGGTTGACACCTCCTAACGAGTGTTTCTTACAGAGAACGGGGAGGAGGAGTGCGCCGTGATGATGGACGGAGGAGGACAAGGTGGATGACCAGATCCAATTTAACTTGATTTCTTTTGCGCCACACTGTCGCCACACGCTCTTCGAACGGGTATAACATGAGATTCTGAATTACGCCTCAGGGCGGACCAAAAATACAGACTGTCCGAGAGATGAGTTAGCTGGCTGGGACATACAGTCTAAGTGTGAACCTGTAAGCAATAGCAAGCATAAAGCAAACGATAGAAGCTCTATGTAAAACGACCTTATGATCCTTGGACAGACACCCTTAAACGGGTACCATATACTCCTCTATGTCCGGTGTTTCAAAGCCTATCCTCTGCGTTTCAAAGCTGATCCGAAACACGACCCCATACCTAACAATCTCGCGCACGAGCCGATGGACCTCTCCATCCCTACTATCCTGTGGCTTGCGCTCCTTATCCATCGCCAAATCAATCTGGCGCATTGGAATACCCACACTATGCCTGAACCTCACGATGTTCCGGATATGGCGCAAACAATCCGCCGAGGAAATAGTGCGATCGGTGAGGACGAGCCAGAGACGGCGAAGGTGAGGACACTTGACGAGACCGTTCGGTTCCTGATACTGAAGAAGACTGAACAGCTCACTCGCGTTCCCGAAAGCAGCGGAGGATGCAGGGGGATGAGACCAAATATTGATGTGCAAGGCTAGTTCCTCCAAATTCGGGACAGAAGCCAAGAGTTCGTTCCAAGAGTAATTGGAGGAGTGGGTCCAAACCCATGGCATATCTGGGCAGGTTTGCTCCTCGATCGTGATCCAAAGTCTTGCGATGGGATGGGACGTTAGGAAGACGAGAAAGTGATGCAGCGTCTGCGCAGGAGATTCCAGCGCGGGCCACCCCCCCGAGACGTTGAAGATCGGAATCCTAGCGCTATCTCCAGCGAATCGTTGAGTAATACCGCTGAGCTTGCAGGTATGCGAGGTCAACGTCAGATGACACCAGGAAACCCGTTGTTGCCACTGTTTCATGAGAAAAGGGACTTCGAAAACGCCACTACCGGACGGTGGAGGGCGGCTTTCTATACGAACTGTTACATGGAGCGTGGTATCGACTGATATGTCAATCGAAGAAAGAAAATGATCGACGGCGGAGAATTGTCGCGGGGAGAAGTCGATGCCTAATTCACGGATATGCCTGAGATTGGCTCTGGAGGACTGGTTCACGGACCGCGATATGGTAAGGTCGGCACCAGGATCGAGTAGAATATCAAAACTGTAGAGTTGAGGAATGTTCACAACGACATCGAGGAGAGCAGAAAGTGGTAGCTCTATGTCAAATATGATGTGTAGGTGTTCCAGGGAGGGATGTGCAATAAAAGCCGTGGGGAGGTGGTTCACAGTCCGGAGGAAGGTGTTCGTAAGAGTGTTGGACAAGGCGACGGAGAAAATATTGCCATCCACGAGTTCGGAATCAATACTGAAAAGACAGTCGCCTTGAACCTGCGTGATGGTGTACCTGAAGGCGTTATCGGAATAACGGCTGATGATGGTGGGTGCAAGCTCTGTGAAAGTCGTGTTACCGAGATCTATAACGGGAAGGTCTTTGGTCCTCATAAGGATGTTCATTTTGGTTGTCGGAGGGACGACGAGATGTTTGAAAATACGGTCCACGTCTGTGAAGTTGTCGTAGCAGTAGAAGAACACTTCAGACAGATGGTTCAGGGCCACAGTTTGGAGGGGAGAGCCCAAAGGAAGTGGATCGACGTCCTGGTGGAGGTGGAATTCCAGGTGTTGAAGATTTGGAACCTGAACAAGCACCTTCAGAAGGCCATCGAGCGGAAGAACGTTGTCGATGCCCTCGTCCTCGTCAAAATAACAGAAGCGTAAATGCGTCAGCTCGGGATCCAGTGTGGCTGGAAGTCGGTAGACGTCGAGCACGTCGTCCGAACCACTACTATCAGAGTCAGAGTGCGTCTGGATCGTCGGCTGCTATGGTTGTGAAACATCGTTAGCACAACGATCGCCTTTAGGCAAGAGAGGGCGAATAGATACGGTGTTAGCTCACCAGAGTCATGTCCATGTTGATGAAGAGTAGTGGGGCGCGGTTGGGTGGGTGGTGTAACGAGGGCGGTGGGATGAGAATAGCACTGGAGACCGACGACCTTCTTGTACTTTTCTTGACTAGGGACAAAGAACCGGGTACGATCTTGGAATGGAGGGTTATTGTTCTTCTTGAGGCAACAGTCTCGGCAGTTTCTTGGCAGCCCGTTGCCGCAAGTCCGAATGGAGGAACAAATAAACAAAGCGAAATATGACGAGGGCTAACTGGTACCTCAGGTTTTGAATTGAGGTTGAGGAAATGTTATGTAAGCAGATAGCGCCTATTTTTCTGCGTAGTTTGACACGACTTCAAAACATTTGCTCGATAGACGATGCACTCTGGCCAGTCACGCTTGCGCGCAAACACCTGCTTGCAGGTCGCCTGTCACGGCTTCACCAAGCTGGCACATATTCTGAATGAACCACTAGGTCGTCCAAATCGCCAGCGAAAACTCTCATTTTGACATTGATGCCGTAGCTAGCAAACCATACCAGATGCCCATGGGGTACTTCAAGGCAAAGAGATAGCCCGATATAACCACCTTGTAGGGCATGATGGATTTGAAACATCGAGAAACCATCAAGGGGAGCTTCAAAGAAAGCTAGCTAAGAACATCCTCTGTACGTCGCCGATGCGAAAGATGTATACACCAGCCACAATATGTCGCGATCTGGTCCGTATAGTGAGCACATAGCTATGTGATTGCTCACATGCCACTCGACGAGACTGAGTGTCCGAACCAGAGGCAGACGCCTCTGCAAGCGTCGAATCGACAGTGCAATATCCATAAGAGTGAAAAGGAAATAGTTCCTCCCCGAGAATAGGGGGGCCACACTATCTCGAGCCAGCGTGAATGTAGTATCGTGCCGAGCTGAAGCTGGAGGTACTTGAGTATAAAGGCGATAGTGCATATCAGATAGCAACCATCCCTCAAACATAGGCAGAGCTGGGAGTTAGAACAGCGGCATATATTACACCCAGGAATAAACTGAGAGAAATCGTAATACACACGAAGAACTGTAAGATCTCTGATCGAACAAAACGCTGCCTGGCGGTAAGGCGATCTAGGACAAACTCAGACAAAATACGGCATATTGCCCTGCTCAAATGGTGTACGTCAGTACCAGTACCACAACCGAGCACCCCCTCGCCACGCCGAAAGGCGTCGTGGAAGCGAAGAGAAAAGACTCACCGTCCTCCGCTTGCCAATCCCACCCGGTCCACCAACATTGTCTCTTTCGTTCTCCTCCGCCGGTCCAAAGACACTAAACGACTTCCCACCATCTTGAGCGATAGTAAGGATACTTGCAAGGTTGCCACACCTGGAGTTTTCGCCACAGGTTAGATCAGGTCATTCACTTCGGACTCTGGTGCCAATACAAATGGAGTAGACGAAGGTGAAAGAGGAAGCGCACCGATAGCAATAATTTGGTGCGCTCCAGACCGTAGCGAGCTCCTCGTCGAACATGTACTTGAAGCCTTCTTGGACGAGTTGATGTGCGCGCGCGATCAGGCTGAGGGAGTTTGTATGATTGAACTGTCGTGGAAGAACAGCGAAATGGTGTGCGAGAAAGAATAGGGAGAGAAGACGGGTAAGAATTCTGCGGTGCGGATGGATGGACTCGAACGTGGACGTACCTCCCGGGTGACGCTCCCACCAAACAACCATCCCGCTCCTCGCGGACTGACCGCCCAATTATCTATCTCCTCTGGGTCGGACCACATCAGATCTGTTAAGCCGCCAAAAAAATAACCGGGAATGCTATGAGTGATTAAAGTGCAGGATCCAAACGGCCAAACGCACCACAGAAAGCGCCTTCGTGTGGAATCTCCTGTGCTCTTGAAAGTACGCGAATCTGGTCTAATGTTCGGATATCCGGCGAGAGACCACCATGGACACAAAGTACAGAGCCATCAATGATCTATTCGATCAAACGATATCAGAGTTTGGTCGTAGTGTGTCAAGGAGGGCGATGACGTACGGCTGCGAGGTTGAGATAGTCAAACACACTACAACAGGCCTTCCACACGGACGCACTGCCATACTTTTGTTGGCATTCGTCTATAGTGCAATGGGAGTATTGGTTTCATATATGCATTGAAGCATAAATAGAGAGTTCACGTACCGTAAAAACCATACACCTGCGTGATCTGTCTCGATTCGTGATTCCCGCGTAATAGGGTGACCTTGTCTGGATAGCTTTCGTTTGCGACGCATGTCAGCAACGACGGAAGAGACAAAGACAAGTAAGAAATGGACGTACGTCGCTTTTAACACGAGTAACATCGATACTGTCTCCAAACTATAATGCCCTCTATCGACAAAGTCACCCTACAGCCATCCATCCCAATCCACCCAGCCCCGCATCAGCCCAACCGATGCATGGATCGCGACCATTCTAGTGAGACGGAAGAACCTACGTGCCATAAATATATAGCTCGTATCTGGTACATCTCCTCCCTTCCTGAACAGCTCTAACAGGTCCCAGAACTGGCCATGGATGTCTCCACAGATGGTGACTGGTGATGAAACAGGTTGTATGTTGGATTCTTCAATGAGCAATGACCGGACGCGTTCGCAGAGGAGTTTCATTTCGGCTTCTGGAAGATGTTTGCATTGTCGAAGTTGGGCCAGCCATTTGTCGGGACGGAAGCGGGTCATCCTAGTAGATGAAGAGTTGGTAGCAAGACAGGAGAAGGTGGCGAAAGCGGACAACAAGCATTACGAAACGATTCGTAGACTTTCAAAGTCCGATAGTGTGATTACAGTGATTACTACAAGTTCCTCTGTAGTGTGGCTACATTGATGTCTGGCCAGCTGCTATGTTTCGCTATGCACCGCCACTACCTTCTGTCTCTTCTTCCCGTCCATCATCCTGAGCGGGAATCATCTTAGTAGTTGTCGGTGTGCTTGATATGGCTGACAACACGCTCGTACACTTGGTATATGTTCACGGATTTAGAGGTAGATCCAGATACCATCTTCGAGCCAGCTGTGATCTGACGTTGTTTTGTAGGCGATGATACCACATTCCAGGTATGTTTCGTCGCTCTTTCTCTAAAAATGGTCTCGGAATTGTTACCGTATTTATCCAGTCAATTTATTTTGGGCCGATGCACGTAGTCTTTCCCTTTGGATCTTCAGCGATACCTGGCAGCACGGATGCCTCCGAGGCTGGACGTACGGAGCAGCCTATACCCAACTTACAAGAGCGTGAAGCCTATCTCATTTGCCACGAAGAACTTCTTGGAATGGTAAGTTGTTTTTAATTTTCTGCTTGTCATCATCGTATGCGCATACTACATGTTCTGTCACTTGCGCGGTCGACTTTCATCTTCAGACTCCCCGCTCTTCCCTGTATCGCCGCAAGGCTTAGATTCTCGAACCTTCGCAGGAGGCCCTCTTTTATGAGCACTCATAAACCCTCGTTCAAACATCGAGAGGCCACGCTGTTTGCTGAGTCGCGTTAGAGGCATCTGCTCGATGTGGCACCTAGAGAGTCCGACGCCACACGCAGCTGTTGTGGCAGACATATGCGGCCATTACTTGTCCCCTAACACGCGATGGAATCCATCAAACGATGTTTCTTGGTTGCTAAACCAACCTAATCATTAGGCTCACGACCCAACCGCCTGGACCTGTGATCCTCCTCGGACACTCCATGGGCGGTCTTCTCGTCGCCGATGCTGCCATAGATCCATCCAACAAAGGCCACAAACGCATCGTCGGCATGATCGCGTTTGATTGTCCATACATCGGAATGCACCCCCACGTCGTCATTAGCGGTATCGCTTCGTTGTTTGCGAAGAAGGATAAGGCGGACGATAAGGTGGGGGATAGGAGAGGCGGTATGGAAACTGAGAGGAGGATGAACGAAGGGGAAGTGGGTGAGGAGGGAGTGCATATGATTAATGAGAATGTGACGGACGACTGGGAGAGGTTTAAGAGGGATTCCCGTATGTCATATTTTCATTCTCTGTCTTTGCACTTCTGGTCGAGGCTCCGTGACCACAGTTTTCAAGCTCTAACTTACACTCTATCTAGGCCCTCAAATGTCCCATTCTCATTCCCACTCGTCCTCCTCTTCCTTCCACACAGCTCTTTCAGGACCACCCTCCCCTCCACCACTACCCCCTCGTTCGTCCTCGCCCTCACTCCCTTCCTACTCAGCCTCAACATCATCGCCCTCATCGCCACCGCCTCTACCCCCTCGCCACCCTTCCTCCCTGGCATCCAACTCAGCCTCGACTACCTCCTCATATAGCCTTCCTTCTTCGTCCACAACGGCGCATCCCCTCCTCCGCTGGGTTGTGAAACACTCTAACGAACCCTTCACAGCCTCGAAACGCTGGATCGTCGAACACTTCCAATTCGGAATATGCATGTTCGACCCTCCAGGCCTCAAAGATCGATACACACGCCTCGTCGCCTGGGACGGTCTTTGGGTGAACTACTGGACGGAATGTCTAGTCCGAGACTCTGATGACGCGGACGACCGGGAAGGGGACGAGGGGACGGAGGGTCTCGCGTTGAGGCGGATGAGTAATAGCGAGAAAGAGAAGGAGAGGTCCGTGGCGGATAATGATGCGGCATTATTGGAGAGTCAGATGGGGAGTGTGTTGCTGGACGAGAGTATTCAGAGGCAGGAGGAAGAGCATAAACGACTTTCGAGCGCTACGCTTCCTTCGATCGTCATCGAGATGGAGCCAACAAGCCCCGTTCCTACCTCTTCCTCGTCAGGCCGTGGCTCGCCGGTGCCTCATGGCCCCTTGACGAAGGCGGAGATCAAAAAACGCGCGAAAGCACAAGAGAAAGCGGATAAGGAGCGTGACAGGATTATCAAGTCTGCGGAAAAGGAGCGTGATAAAGCGGCGAAGCAAGCGTCTAAGGATCGCGAGAAGGCGTTGAAGGCGGCTTCGAAGGAACGGGAAAGAGCTTTGAAGGCGGCGGAGAAGGAGAGGAAGAAGAGAGAGTCCGAGTCGAAGAAGAAGGACGCGAGGTCGGAGCCGACGTCGAGGCATTTTGTGGTGCTGCCGACGGGACTGGGTGCTGTGCTTGGCGGAGGGGAGAAGTGGGAGAAGGTAAGGATAGATGGAGTGGAAGATGAGGTTGCGGCGCATTGTGGGTTGTTTATTAGGGATCAGAATTTGGAGTATGATGCGTTGGTGGAGAGGGTCGGGCAGAGGGTGTTGCAGTGGTGCGAACGGCTATGATGGCGGTGGTCAAGACTCGACACTTGGCTTGCTGGCTGGTTTCGATACCTTTGCACTAAAGCCTTTCCCCTGCTCTATTCTATCATGCCAATGAAACAAGGATAGGATAACCCGAGTCGCAAAATACAAGTGATTTTCTACTCAGGATGGACTTACGCTTGGTTAGTCACGTTGTGGCGCTACACTGAAGGTTTTTGGGTATCCAAGACAAGGAACCAGCGGAGATCGCAATCGTCTTAGAGACAAAGGCGTTTCTGGATTGGGTAATGCCGGAGTTCGAAACTAGTTTACTGTAAACGTCGCTCAACACGTCCACCAAAAGTCTACGGGCGTTATGAATGCTACTCAGTTTCAAGTTTTCAACTGGACCCAGCTTTCCTGGGGGAAGTATTCTGGTTGCCAGCAAGGTAGGCTTAGTCTCCCGAAGGCAGAGTAGACTAGGTTCCAACCGGGCAAGCGACGATCATCTGGCACTACAATCGACCATCCCGTCCGTTGTCTCACTTTGCTAATTGTCCTCATCGACACTGTTATTCTGGAAGACTCGCCCAGTGCTATGTGTGAAAGCCACGGGGCCGAAGAGACGGGTTTGCGTTGCAGAAGCATAGATTGTGGCCCACAAAATCCCGACGATCGAAATCCGATCGCGCTGGCGCTGCAGTCTTTTTCTTTGTAGGGATACCAATGAATAGTGCCGGAACTGGAGAAGACGTAGACAGGAAAGAAATGGAAGCCGTGCGAACAATACAAAATCGCATACTACACAAGGAAAATGAAAGGTCGCCTCGATCCAGTCACTTACAGTCAGGTTGCGTAATCCCATATAACAAATTTCAAGCATCCTTCAAGAAACTACCGACGACCTCCATAAACCTCTCTCTCTCCTCGAAGTGTGCCATGTGTGCTGAATGTGCAAATTGAACCCATTTCACCTGCTTCAACCTGGAGAGGAACGAGATGGTGCAGAGATCGTGGCTCAATTCATGATGGCCATTGAGCAGAAGCACAGGCACGTCGATTTTGGGGATATCGTCGAGTGCGGTCCAGTCACGAATCAATCCAACGGTCGAAAAGTTCTTGGGGCCCCACCTAGTACCTTATGAGCGCATTGCGAGAAGAGTGGATGACAACGATTGATTGTGTGCTCACATTGCAGTATAAACTGTCGGGTCTTTCTTGTTCTCCATGAAACCAGCCATGATCTTGCTCGGGATCGGGCTTAGGCGGCACATGAACTTTTCGTAAAACTCCTTCATCCCTTGCTGGTACTCGTCGCTCCCCACCCTCCCGTTCTCTTCGTCGAGCTTCTCCTGCACATCCATCGGCAGCATGCTCCTCAAGGCTCGCTGGCCCTCATTCCACACCTCCATAGATCCCGCAGAAGACCACACCACATACTTCCTCAGCCCCTTAGGCCTTCCCCCAGCAAAGTTCGTACCGAACATCCCACCCCATGAATGACCTATTAGATCGTACTGACGCCCCTCCTTGTCGAGACCAAGATGGCTGACGAGAGAGTGAAGCTCTGCGACGAACATGCGTTCGTTCCAGAACTCGGGACCTGCGGTCGCCATCTCGGGGAAGTGAGTGGAATTTCTGCATCCGACCTGATCATATTGGATGATGGGGATAGAGTAGGTAGAGGTGAGATCGGCGAGAGGGTCGTATGCCTCGGAACCGACGCCTGGTCCACCGTGAAGAATGATGAGTGGTATGGATGTGGCGGTGAGCTCTCCTGTGATTTTATACCACGTTTTGAGCGGTTTTTTCGCGAGAGGATAATCGAAGTCAGCTTCGCCTTCGAAAACCGGGAGAACAGCAGAGCAAGATGTCTGGGCAGTCATGATAAGGAAGAGTGGTCGGACCAGAGCGTCACGACGGATGCGAGAGGAAGGTCTATGTAGGCTTCTTTGGGGAACGAACGCAAGAAGTTGTGGGAAAGTGGGGGGCGTTGAACGTTGAGTGTTTCATCAACTCGCTTCCCACGAGCAATATGGATATCTCGGATCATCGCTGAAAGAATGCGAGAGGTAACGCGGCGTCTACTGTGATAGGAGGTGTTGAGGATGTGTGTTTTTGTTGCGAAACTGACACGAAGCTTTTCCCTCCGGAGAGATTCGCAGGCCGCGGAACTCCGACGCCAACCTCGATTAAACCTTCGCCGCCACCGATCCCGGCACTGAAGACCCCAAGATAAACAATCGCAACAATAGCTTTGCGATGCCCGGCGTCTTGTCCACATGGTGGAACACATCTCAGTGGGAGTTGAGTGGGAGTATCAGAGCCCGAAAAGGTTCGAGCGCTACTCAACTGTGAGCGATCTTCCCCAAGCGCGCTCTTCCACCCTTCCAGATACCTTAATATTCGGGACCAGCCCCCACAACCCTCGCACGTGCGCACGCGATTCCGACAAGCCCCACCAAAGCCCCACTTCTCGCCATCCTCATCTACTTTCCTTTCCTCCATGTTCAAAACCGAGCGACTGACTCTGCGCGGTTACCGTCCTTCAGACGATGAATTCTTCATGAACCTCTTCGACGAATATCCCGTCCTCGTTAACCTCACCGATGGCTACATCACACCTAACCTTGCTGGGCATAAAGCTCGTCTCGATGCCATGACAAAGTGTCTTCTTTTCGTCGTTGTCGTCGATAAAGGCAGTGGGGAGAACATGGGTTTCACCCTCCTCCAGCACCGCAACCCGCTCGATCGCAATGCAGAGATCGGTATCGCCATTGGTCAGAAGTGGTGGGGAAAGGGCTATGGGACAGAGATTATGTCATGGTTGATTCCATATGCCTTCCGCGGGCTCTCCCAGCATAGACTCTCGCTGCATGTCTGGAGGTCGAATTCCCGTGCCTTGAAAATGTATGAGAAACTGTGAGTGGCTCGAATATCATTGCCGGAGGGAGTTGAAGTTCACCGTATTGACCCTATTTTACCACAGTGGGTTCAAGCAAGAGGGTTGTATTCGCGGCGCAGTATGGAAGGATGGAAAGTGGGTGGATACCCTGTGGTTCGGCTTGCTCGCGGACGAGTATAAGCCATCTTAGAGAAACTGTAGGTTGATCGTCCGTCATCTCTCTGAGAAGGATACTTATGTGTGTACAGGACAATATTGTTTTCACGTTTGCGGCTCAATTCTTGCGAGAATGTACTGTATTGTTTGGTTGGCGCACATGGCGTACATGTGCAAGTCAGTTTGAATGGATTTATTCGTGTAAAACAGTGCAATGTTATAAGTCGTATTATTCCCTCGAGCTGGGGAATGAAAAGCCTTCCACCCCTTATCTGAGATGGCACATTTGATCAAGAGGCAGAGGTTCTCGTTTGAACCCTCGTCATCCGTCTTTCGAGTTCGCCTCCGTAACTCGTCTCCGTAACTCTCCCATACATGCAGTAGTTCATTTCTCCAAAATTTTCATGATCAAGCCGTAGTTTATACATGATGGACAGCAGCACCTTCCAAACTTGAGAACATGTATAATTAACATAGTATTCAGTACAGAAAACGATGGACAGAGTAAGACGACAAGGAAAACAGGTTGTGAACAGTAGAGCAGAGCCGTCGTGGTTGCGAGCGAAGCAGCCAAAGTCGCGACTTGGTGCGTATTGCAAGTCACCCCGGTCTTGCACACTTGACGGACACCACGGCACAGTATCAATAGACACAGAATAAAATAGATTAGAAACGAAGAGGATCAAACAGTTTGAGCTGCCTGGCGCAATGTCATTGCGTGCTTAAGCGACCAACCTGGGTTGAACCTGGGGACCCCAGAGTAATATTTATATTCTAGAAACCGAAGGGAAAAATAAACAGAGCCATCGTTCCTTGGCCGTTCCAAACAAGAGGAAGTATATCTCCATGGCCCAAACCTTTGAATGAATACGGGAAATACAGCCCGAAATCTCGGCAAAAACTTTCCTTCAAGTACTACCCCTGGCACCGTTATCCTACCCTTGACGTAATATGAAAGAGTTCATTGGACCTAAACCTTTTCTAAATCGTCCACGGCGACGCTTAACGCATCCTTACTCCCTCCCAATGTCCTGACGGTGCTTTCCGACGCCCCCGTCGACGCTAGAGCCGAAGCCGACATGCCGGATGGCAAAGGCTTCGTGAACTGAATCCGTTGCATGGCATGTCCCTCGTTCATACCATAACCGCCCCGGCGCCCGCCATCAGCGGAGAACTGCGAGGATCCGGCGGTATTGAAAGGAAGGGAGCCTGCTGTAAGTCCGTGAGTCATCGTATCAGTGTCCCAGCTCTTTCCTTGGGCAACCCGGAACATGATGAGTAGCGTTGCGATGATCTAGAATCAGTGATAAAGGTGAGTTCATCAAATATCGATAGACGCGACATGTAATATGTTCTGACCTGGACGCCGCTGAGGGCTTGGAAGAAAACTTCGTTGAGGGGGTTGTTCATGGCGAAAGGAACGAGAAAAAGGAGGGAGAAGGTGGAGAAGATAGCGTCTGATTCGACGATCATGGCGGCGATGCTCGCATATTGCGAACCGTGACTGGTGCCCATGGCGGAGACGATGTTTCTCCTGAAGACGAGGAGTCTCAACGTGATGGCGATGGTAAGGATTATGTTGAGGGAAAGAGAGAGCGAAAAGAATGGGATGGTCCAGTTGATAGAGGCCGCCGGGCTGCCAGGACTCCAAGGAGAGGATGCAGAGACCTCGAGGAGAAAGAGCAGGCCAGTAACTGGTGTTATATCAGACGGATTCAGTTAGAAAACGAGTATGTTTTGTAGAGTGGGGGAAAAGCTTACCGAAGGATCCCAAAAAGAGCAAGGAAGGAAAAAACATAATGGCCCAAAGAGCGCGACCAGTATTGTAGATAACGTAGAAGCGCCACAGCTGGATTGAAAGAGCATGAGAATAGCCGCCGAGAAAAAGAATCTTTCAAAGAAAGTCCGACTTGCCAGTAACGCATCGCACAACCAAGTCGACATAATAGCGCATACATTTCCGAGTTCGTCAATCGGTATTGAAAACGACGTCTCCTCATACACACCAGGACCGCCCGTAATGTTTCTGTTGTCGATAAACGCGAGCTGAGTAAATTGAGCGTTTGAAGCATAGAACAGCGTTCCAAGGATGAAGATGACAGAGATGTATGCCAAGAAGATGTATTTGCGTTTCGAATTGACACCAGAACGAGTGCGTAAAAGATGCCAAAAGGTCATCGCGAAGAGTGTCACCTCCGTGCCATACGCGACCCCGGCGAGTAGGGCGCCTTGGAGGAAGGACTTTTCCGTGAAGATCTGCTCGCTCGTCTCATCGAGGGAGGACGACATCTCTGGGGGTGGATGACAGGGGGTTGTAGGTGAAAAGGGCCAGTGGAGCTGCTACACTTGAGGCCTGAGGAGAGTCAGATGTCCACGGTGCTCCTTCAATAATGTCGATGTAGACGCCATCCTCCGTATCATTCCCTGAACAGCCTAGCACACGATTCGGGCGTCAAAACCCGTCTTCGTATGATGACGTCCCTGAAATAGGCGATCCTGGGAGACTTCACATCCCAGGGAGAACAAGTACTAGTAGTGTTGACAGTTGTTTGATGGTGAGCAGCGTGTCGGGGAAGAAGCAAGGCGTGTTCTAAAACTGCCCAGGCGAGGATTATCGATACCAAACCCACAACACCGTCCAATCCGGGACATAAGCGTGCTGCTAGAAGATTTCATCCCCTAGGTGCCCACGGATATCAGAGAGGCCCAATGATACAACAGTGTCAAGTTTGGCACTTCGCATATGGCGTGATGCAGCGCTCCCCACCTTTACGGGATTTGACCTTCCTTGTGTAACATTCTTAGAACGACGGCAAAATATACGCGCCGGGATCGGACCTATGGGGTGGTTGCTGGGGTCCTGGTGATGTGAGCAGTGTATATCCTCCGACATCGCCGTACTTTCGGCAGATGTAGAACGTCTTGAAACAAGCCGTTTAGGGTCAAAGGCGCTTGCGGCCCACCAGGGAAGTGACAATATTCCTCTGTGCCACCAAGGTCCAATCGGAGTGCGTTTTTGCGGGTGTAGAAAAAGAGAATCACGCTGTGTTTGCAGAGGTGAAACCATGAGGGATTCTGTACAGCACCCGGTAGGATGCTACGAGAATGTATGTTACAGTGGAGTGAGGGACAGCCCTAATGTAGTCCCGTAGTTAATTTCAGGACAACTGCGATACAATCCGATTTGGGCAAACGCAAAAAAAGGTGATTACATATGAAGCTCGGCACGGCAGAAAAATACAGCCTCAAGCAAGCCTCCAGTCCATTCAAGCCCCGCGTGCGGTTCTCGCCACCTGCTCAAACTGGTACTCTGCATCATGCACTTGATTGCAATGAGAAGCACGTCAGCGTCAAGAACACAATACTTGTAAGATAAAAAAAAAGCCAGGGAAATGGACGTAAAATCCTCACATCTCTGACGAGAGCGATCGCCTAGCCCATTATACTGGTCCGCCCTGCTGAGCTGCATCACGTCGAGGGCAGGAAGGCAGTCCACAACAGAGACGGACAGAGCATTGGTCGCCCAAGCATTCGCCCCTGTAAGAACTATGGTGACGGCAAGAAAGAGTACGAGGAGAGCTTTGAGTGAGAAGGAGGGCTTCGCCTCCGTCTTGGAGGTAAGATCTGGATAGTACGGAGACTCGAGCTCTGTGTCGAGGATATCGCCAGACGCATTGAGCAAAGGCTGGTAGGCGTCCATTGTGGGTGCTTGAGAGGAGAATTGGTGGAAGGAGACTAGGAAGCTTCGCTTCATATGGCGGAGGATTCTCAGAGCCGTGACAATCTGTGCAACCGTGACATACGCCAGAGGAATAACTGTCTGGACAGATTCTCGGCGCGAGGCTGTGAAAGATCGAGAAAGAATCTAGACGTATAATGGAAAGCCAACCTTAGCCAACCCACTGCGATACCATGACGGCAGTTTCCTCTGATGGCACGATACGCACTTATAATCAGCGATGAAGACATAAGCCAGAGCAACGCCACCATCGCATCGTCCCATTTCTGCCATTACATCCAATATGCCGTCCAAGTCATTCTCCGCCAGTCAATCAATTTGTTGGGCATTACTCGCCCTGCTGGCGTTCTCATGCTACCAAGCTTTCGAGCTGAGGGTGAAGTTGAAGATGCTGCAGGATATACACCTCGCTTTACACCCTGAAGAATTGACCTATAGTAAGTCTCTCGCATCCATCGCTCTCAGCTTCCGAGAAGCATATATCAGCAATTTTACTGACTTCTCGCATGCGTTTCCTGCAAATAGCATACAAAGATGGCAACCACCCGAATACGCTCCCTATCCACGTCAAGGAGACCGCGATGGAGGTCGAGTGGCTAGACGAAGAAGTCTATGGCCTCTACGCTGACGAAGACTGGGCGTCACTCTTCCCCGGAGACTCGGGCTTCGTTTTTGTGGGTCCTCCGGTCAACGACACCAGCTCCGAGTGGAACGCCAATGTCTTCGCAATCGGCATGTTCCATCAACTGCACTGCCTCGACGTCTTCCGCCACTCATACGTGGCTGCTAAAGCGGGCGTCCTGGCCTATCCGGGCAACGGCACAGGTTTCGATCATCACATCAACCATTGCCTGACTTATATGAGAGAGATGGTGTTATGTGCAGCAGATACTACGCTCATACATACCAGGGATGTGGACGAAACACTGGGTAGAGGGAAGTACGAGGCGACGAGTATCGGCACGGTGCATAGGTGCAGAGACTGGACGCAGGTCAGGAAGTTCGTAGAGGACAACAAGGCACCGATGTAAAACTTACAGAGGTTGTATAGAAGGTCGTGCGATATGCCACAGGTCGAATGTACTTCCTTTGTCTCAAAAGCTTGAGCGACTGCCTTCTTGTATGTAGCACTTTTGTGTCAAGACCGCCATTTTTGGGGCCAAGGGCGCACGAGAAAAGAGTTTCTGGGCAGAGAAGTACCAAGAGACATAGAAGCTTGAGGGGAAAATGCGAGCAAGATGTAGAACACAGGTTGTCACCCAGAGAGAGAGGACGAGAATTGAAGCGAGCATGATATTTGAAAGTCGGAGTCTGTACGCCACTGATAAATCGATTGTGGCGTGTGGCTCAAGGTACAGTCGTTTACCGGTCCTCTAGACACCGAAACCGAATCATATCGATTCAGTGGCTACGAGTCCTTAGTACAAGAAGGAAAATATGTAATGCGCTCAGAGAAATTTTCGTCCTCCTCAATCAACCAAAAAATCGGCGACAACCTTCATGTATCTCTCCCTTTCCTCGTAATGAGCCATATGAGCAGATTCTGCGAACTGAACCCACTTGACCTTATCCAATCTATCGAAGAACGATACCATACAGCTGTCTTGTCCTTCATCGTAACGTCCGTTGAGTAGCAACACGGGAACGTTGATTTTGTGGATATAGTCGAGCGCAGACCAATTCTTCAACGTTCCGGTGACGAAGAACTCGGAGGGACCCCACCTGCACGCCACACAGAGAACATCAGCACCGAAAACACTGAAAGGAGATGCAAAAAAGCGGGGTAACTTGCATCACCGAGTAAGTCGTCGGGTCCTTTCCAAGCTCACCGAGCCCGTCCATGATCTCCTCAGGAACAGGATCGAGACGGCACATGAATCTAGAATAGTACTCGAGCATAGCGCCCTGGTACTCATCACTCTCCGTCGTCCCATCCTTCTCGCATCTATCCATCACATCCTGCACCTCCTTCGGTAAAGTCCTCCTCAACTTGTTCTGCGCCTCCACCCAGAGGTCGATCGATCCCGCTGACGACATGATAATGTACTTCCTCAACCCCTTCGGTCTCCCAGCAACAAACGTCGTCCCGAACATCCCTCCCCACGAGTGCCCAAGTACGTCGTACTGCCTTCCTTCACCATCAAGACCGAGATGTTTGATCAGGGAGTATAGTTCGGCAACGAAAAGATTCTCGTTCCAAAAGTCTGCACCAGCCTCGGCTTTGTCCTGAAGGTGAGTGGAGCGTTTACAACCGACCTGGTCGTATTGTATGATAGGGATGGAGTGTGCGATTGTGAGGTCGACGAAGGCGTTGTAGGCTTCTGAGCCAACACCCGGGCCGCCATGGAGAATGATGAGGGGGATTGAGCTCGGAGTCAAGTCTCCCGTGATTCTGTACCACGTTTTGAGTGGTTTGCCTGCAGCGAGGTAGTGGAAGTCTGCCTCGCCTTCAACGACGGGAGGAGTAGTAGAGGTAGACATGATGAGACAAAGGTGATGGTCAGAAGTTATGGGCAGTACGAAGTCGTTACGAAGTATTGTCGTAGTAGGTCGTAGTACGAGTTATGTACGTTATCAGAATGTTGTATCCTGGTCCATCATTCGGCTTTGCACGGACTGGTTCCCATTCCCATGGGAGTCCCAAAAAGAGCGATATACGCAGCTGCTACCCTCTTCCATTCGATGGTCCGCGGAAATTGACCCCTTCTCGGAAACTTTGGCGCTTATCGGTGGACATACAGTGTGATGCTGGGAGCGGGCGCACTTTTTTCCATGTATAGCGCTCCTTGTTACCGGATTAGATGGCCGCGTATATTATAGGGACGATTGGATCTTATGCCGCTGGAAGGATGCAGCTGCTCGGGGGCCTGGTGCAGCCGCCAGTTGATACACACGCTTCCAAATTAGCCGAAACAAAAATACACATATGCATAACACAAGGTGCGCCCGACAATCGATAAAGCATCATGCATCAGACGGCCCATGTGCAATGGGTCATGATGACAGTGGGACAAAAAGACCTGTTCCATGGATACGAAACGAGTAGACAGAAAGGAAGGAAGGCTCATAAGCCCATTACAATCGTTTTGAGCTTCGCAAAATCAGGTGTCCCGAGTCCGGTGATAGGATCCCAACCTCTCGTACACTGACGGAACGTAGGAAATTCCAAAAGATCCGGAGGGATTAATGATTAGGCCCAGTTTAGATAAAACATCACAGCGACCGTTACTCACGTTGAAACCTTGGGTCCCGCACCCGGGATTATTCCCGACGAGGATGTCATTCAGACCTTCAAACCCCTTGGAATACAACATAGGATTCAACCACCCTAGAGGGGGCTTTCCTGCATTGATTCTGGCATCGTTCAGCATGGAAATGATTGACGCGAAAGTGGGTGTGGCAGCGGACGCGCCGCCAATTAAGCGCTGCACGCCGGCAAGAAATATCAGATAGAGGTCTCCTTGAGCCGAGACATCAGGAATCGGAGCACCCTCGCTATGTAACGGGAAGAGAAAACGTGTAGAGAGCAGTTAAACCACAATGCGGACACTCAGGCGAGTTGGAGAAACGTACGGATTGAAAAGACCGGCGTACGTATCCTTAGGAAATTGCTCGAAGAAGGATGCGACAGCTTCGTCGGCATATGCTGGTCTCTGAAACTGTCGGAGAAAGAGCCAGTCCACAGACAATGAGTAGAGTGATTATACTTACACACCGCTGTGCGTTCAGAATAACTCACATAATCACTGAAACCACCTCCACTCCCGAACCTCGTCGTCGCCACCTCAGGTGCGAATCCCTGTGTCGCCCCAACGGCAGTCACAAAAGGACAACTAGCCGGAAAGTTGGCGATGAATCGGGTCGCGTTACGACCATCGTTGGTGGTACACAGTTGGGTAGGATTAGGGTCTACACCGCCTACCCCTCCGTCCCCAGACCCGAAGAGAAGGGATACTCCGCGAGCCCCTTGAATCAACATAAGAGATCAGGCTTTATACAGATCAGCAGGCAAGCGTACCAAGTTGAGCATAGCCTTGACAGACCCTCAAAGCATAGCTTTTGGGCACTGTTCTAATGAGCCGGTTGTAGTCGTCACTACCATGAAAGCCGAAATGATAAGCAATACTGCTCACTGCTCCTCATCGCCGTAGGATGTGGATATCGTCTGCGGAACGTTCGGGTGGGATAAAACATAATCGAGCCACTATATATCGGAAGTTTGAATTTAACACTTCAACGTTGATAAAATTCATAGTGTAGTGTCCTTCTTACATCGAGATATGGTTCATTCATGTCGGTAGGGACATTCAGATCAGGTTTAAAAGGCGCCCTGCCTCCTGTCGAGTAGAACGTTGCCGGGGTAGGAAACGTCAATCCAAATGCCTAGTAATATTATTGTCAGCGACAGTAATTACGTAGGAGGGAATCAGCAGGCTAACAAACTGTACATCCAGAGACGCCTCGGGGCCAGCAGCAGACAAGTTCTGTGAATTTAGACCACCTATGAAGACAGTTATTGATGGACTGAGGAGGAGCAACGCCAGATATACCGTTGATCAAGATTTCCTTGAACGAAGAGTCTATAGCGTCTGAGCGCTGTTGAGCGAAAAAGGAATGTAAGTCTTGCTTGTTCGCAAATCTAAAATGGCCAGACTCCATCACAAAATTGTAAAAAACGCAACAAGTAGAAAATTTACGAACTCTTCTAAGTAGCCAGTAACGGCTATCTGGTTTCCGTTATCCCTAGTGGTGTTGTATCCGACAGCGTTGTATATCTGCTTCAAACACGACACTGTGATTCTCGTGCGGCAGCCCGGATCGATTCCTGTATGAGTCGAAGAGAAATTTGACTCAAGTCCAATGACATCAGCGACTATGTTGGCGCTGCCTTCGTCGTCCCAGATGAATGAGGCCCGAAAGCGTCGTGTACGGGAAAACATGGTCGTAGGTTGTATGAGTTGTATGTGGTCGTTGAGGTGTGCCGGAAGACTATATTCCGTCGTTCTGACGAGACTGCTGCCGTCATCGTGCGTCCACACGTGATAGGTCTGCACTTATATTTAGTGTAAATTTGAATACGTGATAGACTGCCACTGACCGTATGAAGCATAATTTCGACTAAGCCAACAGGAAGCGCAAGATTCAACCAGTCTCCAGCTGGCGATCGCGTGACATCACGGTGGATGTCCACACCATGCATCGTGAGCCATTCTTCTACCAAGTTCACACTCTCCCGCTTAGGTTTGACGAGAGCTTCGACCTCTTCTCTCGTGAGGTGAGCGCCATACCGCTCATGAGCCGGATCACTGACTTGATACAAGTGCCGCTCTAGAGCAGCGAAATCCGACTGGGGCAGCGCAATGCGGAGATGCAGAATATGATCAGGCGGGGCTAAGCCAAGATTCTTCCAAGACTGGGGGGGTTCGTCAATGTGCTCCTTGACAGCGATATTCGAGAAATTAAAACCCGAGGTAGCAAGAGGAGCAGATGTCGCTAGCAGAACGACTAGGTAGAGGTAGAAGGCCATCAAGCAGAGTCAAGCGGTTTACTTAATCGGCTTTCAGTTCTCCGCACTTGATCTGGATTTGGCGAAGAGCAAGCGCGTTTATGTAGGAATCAAGTAGGAATTCATGATGTTGAAGTTTTCAAGTGAGCCGGAGCCAGTCGTTCGGTATCAGTATGGGAAGATAAGATGATATTTCGAATTGGGTAAGCCTTCGACCAAATGTTCGTCACCTAGAAATATTTCTAACCGTGTCCTTCAAGTTGCCCAGTTCGCCGAATATCAGCCTGGTCTCGACATGAATTACAGCAATTGGTAGCCCTGAGCGGCGATCTATTCTGTTTCCTCGCTGCAGATGCGAAATAGCTTTGCAATTACCTCTATACCTTCATCATGATGCATCTGTCGGGAGGATTGTTTCGGTCGCGAATAGTACAGCCTGATGGAGAATCCCATGCGAATCCGTAACACATCGAATACGAGAATCAGGACTCGCATGAAGAAAGAAGACCATATCGTCTGATGTGGATGAAAATAGCACATCTACGGTTTTCAAAACCACCGAGACCCCCGCTATAGAGTATCTGATCTGGAGACTAACCTTCGTTCATCACGCCCAACCGAGCACAGCCAGGCTCCGCCGGTGCTCCCAGCCTCATCCTTTGCGAATCGCTCGTATCGGTGATACGGGCTGGCAGATCGGTCGCAATACTTGCATCAACAATACCGAGTTTAGAACAATAAACTCCTCACAAACCCAGTGTGAGTTTCCTTTCGGCGTATTCGCATTTCTCTGTATGTTCCGTCAAGCATAGCTTCTTTTTTTGGGGACAGAGGGGTCCATTTCCCCTTCACTAAGCGCTTTACAATTGTTAAACTCAAGTCACATGGTGAGTTACCGAAGATATCGTATCCTGGTACTTGCATTATATCTGCCCGACTTTCGTATTCTGACCGTGCCTTTCGTCAAACAGGGAGAAGCTGAGCGAATAGCCGTGGTCCATCGCACTTGCATTTCTGTCTCATCGCCGCCCGCGGTGATACAAGCGCTGCGATGATCACACGCGTGATACGCCCAAATGCGTCCCTCGAAATGGAACATAGGTATTGCCCCCGGACACTGGCGCTCTCTGAGCAGCAGCGCCGCAGAAGGCAAGATGATGGTCAGAACGAATGCATAGCCCATCATCCAAAACCTACGCCACGCTGTTATTCAGTGGATGCCCTTGTGATGCTATATAAACGGTCTCTCTTTTTTTCCCAACTCACAACCCGCGCAAGTCACTCGTATCCCCACCATCCTTTTTGCATATTTGCACTCAACAATACATTTCTCAAGATGCTCAAACTCTCGTCGTCTATCATTATGACATCCGTGGTTCTTTGCCTCAGTGTCCTCTACGTCTCAGAAGGTGACAGTCGCCACTCTTCTCTGTCTTCGTGTATCAATTACTGACGCGAGAGCATAAAAACAGTTGGTGCAAAGGCCATTTCTGTCGAATCTCGAGGGGTTTCCTTCATTAAGCGCGAAGGTTTCGACAGTTTATTCCCTACCGCAGATACCGCCGGCCTTGAAACCGCACCTGACCTAAAGAAAACCGGTGAGGCTCGTGGTGAGCTGAAATTCACTACTTGACGTGGAGAATTCTGACTAACACATCTTTCTCTTTGCAAGACATCGCGGCCCGGGATGCTTTCTCTATTCTTGACCCCACGGCAAACACTACCGATCTGAAACCCCAGGAAGACAATGATGCATAATTGTCTGCTGTGGTCAGTTGCCACAGAATGTAAGTTTCACATTCCAGTAATCCCATAGTTGGCTGTCCCTGTGCTTCAACAATGCTTACCAAACTTCGTGGACGTAGAGTTTAACATGGTAAATCTGTGTCTTTGCCGAATCCGTGCACTATGATGGGACATGGGTGGATATATATTTCGGGGATTAAGACCTTTCCTGTACTATACCGTTGTAGAGCTATCAGAAAGATGAGGAACTCCGGAGTTCGAAAGTGTTTGACATGACGTTAAGCACCATGGAAAATTTGAGAAATTGAGAAAAGTTTGTGAAGTAGTAAACGAATGACCTGAAATCTCACAACCTCAGGCCAACCAAATGGATTATCGAAGCAATAAATAATGGTCAGCTCCTATGGCAAGGTTTAAGTGATCGTACTTCATACCATCATGTCGACGCAGTACCACGTTGACGAGCTTGCTCTGGGGCAATCGAGTAGAGTTGATTTTATATCATCCCCTGCACTCTCCTTAAAGGCTCATCGAATATGACGCAGCAGAATGAAACAATTTGCACTCGAAATTATCTCAGTACCATACATTGAGAGCGGCTCACACGCGTCAGCGAATGAGTACATGTAAGAATGTGACTTCGAAAGTGGTTCACGGTCAAGGGCCACCCAGAGGGCCTCTTGCGGGGATGCGATTGAAAAGCTATGCAGTCTTCACGTTGGTTTCCTGCATTTATTATACATTATTTAAGATCGAATAAGAAGATAAAAAGAGTAAAATAGTCCGTTGTAGGCCTACACCGCCGACCGTATCTGATAAGGAAAAAACATTTGCGGCCTGATCCGGGTTGAGGGTTGAATCGACCTCAATCTGACCTCATTTTGACCATCAGGCGAGTATCAGTCTCGAATGAGAGTCGCCCAATATGCGGGCTGATCTTAATACGACCTTATTTTGGCTGATCTCGAACCGAGCTCAGGTCCGGTGGGCGGTGTACTGGCAGCCACAGAGAATCAAGGAAGAAGAGGAATTTGAGTTCATCTCGATATGCACGATCGAAAATAATAATAAAAAACGCAAAAATCAAGTAACGGTAAACGGACGGTTATCTCTTCTTCCGGGCTTCGTTTGACTTGTTAGCGTTGAGTCTAGAAGAACGTCGAAGAGCGGGAGCTTCAACATTCGGAGTTGTGGCGATCGTCCTTGACTGCCGTGTCTTTCTCTGTGTCGCAGAGGGGCTTGCTTCAGTCGACGAAAGAGTAGGTGGAATGACTGTTCGTATTAGAGGTCAAGCCAATAAGCACGCAAATATGTGGCAAGAATCTTGACAGACGTCACGTACCCTTTCGACGCTTCGCATGAGGCTTCTTCGTCTCCACAACGGCTGCCTCCTGCGCAGGCGCGGCATCATCGATCTCAACGTCGATTGCCTTCCTCTTGCCTCTACGGATAGCGTCTGACGCGGAAGTAATTGTTTCCTTTGTCGCCAAAGCAGGTGTATCGACATCATCGAGTGGAGAAGGGGGAGCGATATTAGGTAGAGCCCGCTCACGCTGTAAGGCTCGGCCTGGTGCGGGCACGCGAAGATTAGCCCGACGAGAAACACAGGTGTCCAGCGCAGATGTGCGAGTGACGCTCGACGAAGGGCGACCATGGTTGTCCTCGTGCGTAGGGGAAGCGAGGGGGATATATTGAGCTGCTTCGCGTTGTAACGGTCGTGCTCGAGTCCGTCCAACGCGAGGAGCACTAAGAGTGAGGCCGCGGTCTACACTTGTACTAGTCCTCGTCGTCGTAGCTCGACGGAAAGTACTGTTGGTAGGAAGCCGCGAAGAGGAGGGTGACTGGACTGGTGTCGAGCGTGGGTCGTCAGGGTGTTTGGTGCACTGAGAGCTTTTCAGTAAGGGGGCTCCAGAAGTTACGAGTATACCAGCAAGTGTGTCGGGCTCGACAAGAGGGGTGTCTGGTACGGTCGAAGGTCGCGGTAGTGTAGGGTTCGCCGCAGGAGCACTGGTGGAGTCAGGAGTTCCAGACGGATACGGGGTCTGGGGGTGAATACCAGGGGCGGCACGCGCAGCCTGCGAGATAACTTCATACTGGGCCTCCCAGACATGCTTCCAAAAACGTCGAAGGGCATTGTCTAAATCCTTGTCAGAGACACGGGGATGAAGTAACCGTCCTCGAGTTCGGTCTGCATCTCGGGTAAGATCTAGTAGGAAGACACTCTTCCATGGTGGAGTACGCGGCCTCTCTTCGGGTCTCATACCTGCGTGCTTGCTGCCATTGGGATCTTCGTCCGTCCGTTTTTGCTCTGACAATCTGGCACCATCGAAGTCGATCGAGTACCTGACCCGGCGTCTTTCGAGGTCCGCAGCGTAATCAAACTCGATCTCTTGATCGTCTCGAAGACGCGCATGCTGGAAATCGATGATGTGAACGCCAAGGTCCGCGTCGATGAGGATGCTGTCGAGGGTGGTTTCCTTGTGGTTGTGAATGATACCTAAGGAATGCATAGTCTCAAAGATGTCCACGATAAGTAATTTCACTTCTCTCAGCATGTCTTTCTGCACTGGGATCCAGAACGCAGGATGAGGGAGGTCGATCTCAAAATAAGCCATCCCTGATGAAGGGCATGAAACAGTCCTGACTGATGGCGTCCTTACGTGTGTCTTCAGGCTCTCGTAGGCGGAAGACGCATATATGCGTTTCTACTCGGCGGAAAGGATCATCAACTTAAGCAACAGTAATGCAACAGAAATATATATCTGACCTCATGCTTGAACATACGCCGGTAGCCAGTCTTGTCTTCTGGATCAAATGGATAACTGTAAGGAGATAAGTCAACATGGGCGTTCTACAGGCGATAGATCCAGAAGAGCGCAAAAAGCCCACATTTTTCGCATAACATATTTTTTCCTGTGTGCATTGTAGCAAGTAGTCCAAGGCGGGGGGCCAACATCGGAGGACTTTGCCCAAGGAGTCTCCACTACCTTGACAGAAGGATGCTTGGATTCTGACCGTAGTTGCGCGATGGCGCGCGACTGCCGCTTTTCGAAGAGGTCAGGGTCGTTGATTGGTCCTTGCATAAGGTCCTGATGAGTGGGAGTAATGACGTTGCAGAGATTTAGGGGCGATGCCCGAGAGGAGGAGGAATCAGTCGTCCAGACAGCTTGGGGGAGAGAACAGAGAGTGGGCGAGATCAGTGGTGTCCCACTGCTTTCTCGGGTCGGGCTACTTATAGGCGGGCTCGGGTCAAAGCATCCATTGTTTTTGCGGGAACGTGTGGCCGCACATGATCCGTGTTTCACGCCTAGCTCCATCGATATCGCGAGAAGAGCGTAGCAGGACACAAGGGAACAGAAAGAGTTAAACACAAAGGGACGCCCGAGTCAGGTTGATTTTCTGGGTGGCGTCGGAGATGGCCGCGACGATGGCTGTGCTATTAGGTGCATACGCCACCTACCTATGACCTTTGCTTTGACCGACGGGCCTGCACCTTGTTCCGATTTCGTCGAAGCTCAAAAGGCAAGAGTTCAGAGCTGAATTTCATTCTCATAATTTCTTTGAGGTCAGGGTACCCAGAGGTCAAGGGACCGAAACAGCGCTGGGGCCACGTCAAGAAACTATCGGCACTAGTACACCGGAGGAGAAACACGTTTGTATAGCTACATTATATCGACTGTGAAACCTCTCAGACATAGAGCTACAGATGATATCACTTATTATCATCATGAACGAAATACCCATCACGCACCTGCCATGACCTTCCCTGAAAAACAAACAAAAGTAACCCGATCTAATGATCCGCTCCCCTAAACCCCACCTCGACCAACTTAACCTTCCACTCCTCCCCAACCTTGACTTCCGGCCGAACGACATCCCTGATGGCTTTTTCCTTATCTTTCTCCCTCTCTTCCATCCTCTTCGCCCAACTGTCTACAGGCTCCTCGCCACTTCCTTCCATGCCCCCCTCGGCAGCGGTAGACTGAGGCTTCGTCCATATCTCGTCGATCGCACCTCGAAGTTCAGTTTCGAAGGCAGAGAGTTCGGATTGAAGGGAACGGGATTCGGCACGGTGCTCTGGTGTCAATTGGAGCAGATGTGGAATGAGGTTGCTGGCATCATCTTGATACGACCATGGAGGGTAAGCGATCATATTCTGGAATAAACGGATGTAACAGGCCATTTGGGCACGAAGACGTACCTTGGACTATTCCAAACTTTGTGACCAGCTTCGTGATCGACTTGAGCAGGTATTCCTCTTCGTCTACCGTCCCCTTCCGCCCAGACCCGACCTTGCGCTCCATTTTCCTCTTCGAGCGTGAGCTCCGCCTATGACGGGAATTAGTACGAGAATCAACAGTAAAAGAAGGAGGGCATACTTGGACGTGGTTTTGGATACATTTGAAGGTGCAGCCGTATATCGCGTGAATGCAGTAAACTGCGACACGTCCGTCATCACATCCACATTATGCAGCTCTGTGTCCTCATTGCCGTAGTACGCGTCTGTGAAGCCAGGTCAGCAGACATCGAGCCCGAATTAGGTGTAAAGGCAGCTTACCCGGCTCTTCGACCTTCCTGACCCTCAGCTCCCTAACTCTCACGACCTGCTTTCTCAGTTGTTCCCTCATCTCCCCAATCTCTTCCGAGATCTGTGCGCGAGACTCAAGTGTACCTGGATGAATAATCTCTTCCAAAAGCTCTGGTCTCGAATGCCGGGTTGCCTGCGCCAAAGAGGTGAGTTGCCGCTTTTGAGGGAAATCAGGACAATGGAAGAAAATACGCACCACTCGACGAGCCTCAGAAAACTCGTTACCCTGTACAAGAGCGATAACGGCTTCGCGAACGTCGTTCGCGTAGTCGAGGAGCGCAAGGCTAGCTTCGGCGTATCGTTTCTTGGACGTTAAGTCCTCTATATCATCAAACACACAATGTGAGAACTTGCAGTTGTTTAGAAAACAGAGTGTGGTAAGTCGTACCGGCAATCCGATAGGCCATCGCCTCGATATCCTCTTGTGGCGTATTTTCTCGTTCTGCGAGGTCCATGAGCTCACGCCACTGTAGAGCTTTCTCGTAGGCGATCATGGCTTTTGCGGACTCTGTTGCCTCTACGAAGACTAGAGAATATGATCGACCCATCGTTGGTGTTGTCTTCAAAGTGAGTGTTAGGTGGAATGGAACATACTGATGGCCGCTTGTTTGAACTCTCGACGCTCGAAAAGATACTCGCCATACATGGTCAAGACAGTCTGCGGCAAGTACGTCAATTATGCAATCTGGGATTCAGGGAAAGTTTGTGAGCGTAAACATACCGGGTACTCCTCCGTCCCATTCCAAAGCTCGAGGCCCAACTCGTACAATCGATGTTTCTCCAGGTACTCCATCGCCTCATCAAAATGTTCCGATCCTTTCGTCATGTCATGTACATCAGCACCGCAATTTATCGACCGTGGAGTGCATTGGGGTGGAGTATGCTGACCTGCAAGCTTCAAGTTCCTCAGCGCACCCTCGTATCTCTTGAGATGATCGTCGATCCTGAACCTCTGGTAGTACTTCTCCAACGCTCGAAGTTCACGGAGGAATGGGAGGTATTCTCGTGGATCCTAGAAAACATGACCACCAGTTTATTAATGGCTGTTCGGTCGAGACTATGCGTCAGGAGAGGATGAACCACCTTTTGTGCATGCTGGGCTATCATCAACACGAGCTCGAAGTCATACATTCCCAGCGCTATATCAAAAAGCGTATTCGCATCCACCAGGAAGATGATATACTTCACTGCCTCTTCAACCAGGGTCGGATCTTCAACTGGTACCGACAAAAAGTCACATGAGCTCGTTGAGACGTAAATGACCGAGAGAGAAATAAGGGAGATGGTAAGGAAGAGAAACATACCCTTCAACCTCAACAAAACGCCTAACCCCGCCTCATGAGCTGGGGGTCTCCTCACGACATACGCCGTCAATATCGAGTTCACATATTTCTTGAGATCACGTCGCTCGAGCTCAATGCGGATAGCGTCGCAGAGGGAGGCGATGATCTCAGGTGGTTGTGTACCGCTCCTAGATGCAGTCCCAAGATGGGCATGTCATACGAGTTACAATGATGAAGAAGACAGTTAAGTCGGGCGATGGCTAGGAGAGTTGGAGAAACGAGGAAAGTAAAGGTGGAATACGCACCCCAAACTCGTTAGGAACAAGTTCACATAATCCACCTCGTCCACCTGATCTAAGAAACTTCCCAGCCTCTCTCTGAACTTCTCCGGATCGTGATCAACCAGCACATTCAGATCTACTCTGTGTTTGCGACACGCGAGGAACGCTTTCCTGTAATTTCCACTGTACCAACGTCAGTCTTTCCATTTGCCGTATGTCGGTCTCGACGGAATGCATGAGGGATGCAGAATAGAGGGGATAAAGCGAAAAAGTTCAAAGGACATACGCATCCACATCATCCCTAACAACCCTCATGACCATCGCCCTCGGATTAATCGTCTCCAGATTCCCCCTCGGCATCTGCAGCACGAGGCTCATCGTGCTGGGCACGGCCACTACGATCCTCGATCCCCTTTCTACTCTTCTCTTTTCCGTCCCTGCTACTTCTTTTCCAGTTCCTCCTGTCCCTCCTCCTGCACTGGATCCTGCGCCTGCGAGCAAACCAGCCTCTGTGGCAGAAGCACCATTCAATGAAGAGATAGGAACGTACCACGACTCGTGCGAAGTCGTGGTATAGATCACCAAGCCAGATACGATAGTGAATGAGTTCGCATTTTGGGATAAGATGCGATTTGAGTCCTTCGTTGAGTTTACCGCACAGATCAGCGTGCCAGAGCGGGAAAGGCCGATGTAGACTGTTGTCGCTGGAGTCGAAGATGAGGAAGTAGTGGAAGTGGTGCGTTCGACTTGGTCGCATTGTGTGCCTAGGTCTGCGACGAGGTTGAGTGCGAGGGCGTTTGGTTCGCTCGTTACTATAATCAGTGAATGAAGAGGTAAAAATTGTCGAAGTCGATTATGTTAGGCATGTATCCGTCTCGAATGAAGAGAACTCACGATCGAATACCGCTCCTTTCTTGTCATGCACTGCAAGCGCCCCATCAGCACCCTCTGCTACTTGAACAAACCTCCACCCAGGACCATCCAACGACAACTTCTTTTCCTCTATCTCATCCACCTTCACTTCCTCATCATTCCCACCAGCATTGAAATCCACCTTCAAGATCTTCACTACGTCCTTCCCAGCAGCCATATCACATCCTAGTACCCCGACTCTCCATCCCGTCCCATCCTGATGCCTCACAACGACAGCCTCCCGCCATCCAACGTTTTCTCCACCTTCCTCTCCCGCCGACCCCCTCCAGACCAACACCGGCCTAGCAACCTTTCCCCTTCCAGGCCCCACCCTCGTCCCCAACTCCGACATCTCGATCTCCCCACCACCCCAGAGCACAGCTAAGACCTCGCTCGTCCGCTCGCCCATTGCAACCCCTGCGTTCGTTGCTGTAACTGCTCCCGAAAACTCCTTCGACCCGGGGACGAGACATATATGCGCCGGCGTCCTCCTCCTCTCCATCCTAGTCTTGGACGCTAGCGATGACGATGGCCGTGCAGACAAATCGAACGTAAATCCAGCCATGGGCGGCGGGACGTTCATACTCCTAAACGGCGTCAACAATATATTGGTGCCGTCGATGACTGCGACGGTGCCTGTGTCGTGCGGGGGTGCGAGGGGTGAGGCGCATGTTGTGAGGGTGTATGAGTGATATATTATTTGGTCTGTTGGGAGACATTGGAAGTAGTGAGTGAGTTTCGTGGACATGTAAGTGGGGTAGAGGGGTGAGACGTACCGGCAGTAGTCAATATAAGTTCGAGTGGTCGTTCGGGATGCCATCGCACCGAAGTGAAACGACCTTTTCGAGATGTAGGCGATGTTGCAGAGTCGGCGGATGGTGGCGGTGGCGGAGCGGCAATCTCGTGTTTGAGGTACCTGTACATGATGATGTACGCACACATGCATAATGAGTACGGATATCAGGTGGTGGAACAGATGTTTGGTTGAGCCGGGGCAGAGTGAGACATACCAATGATAATTCCCAATCGTCCACAACTGGACTAACAACCCGTTCGCATCAGCACATAATTTCCTCTCTCACTTCAAAGTAGAGAGAGCACTCACAAACATCGCCCTCGCCACCCTCCACCCAAATCCCCAAGACACCCCCATCCCCACTCCAACTCACCTCCCTTACTCTATACCCCCACCTCATCCCCTTCCCACCATTCACATTGACATTCAACCCCTTCACGCCCTCCGCACCCCCCAAGCGCTCCCACTCCCTAATCCCAAACTCGCCATGCCTGAGCCCATTTCTCTCCAAAAACACAACATCATGCCTCCCCTCCCTTCCACTCGCCAATCCCTCCACTTTCGACTCCTCACCACCCTGACCCGCATGCTGCGGCGCGAACCTCTGCGTGCTCACGATCAGCCCACCCGCGCCCGCAGGTCTCCACGCCACATTGTGTTCCATCCCCGCTACGGGCTCTGACGTACTCTGGAGGACGCCGTCGCGGTTGTAGACCCGTAGGACTCGTCTCCTGAGCCTGTTTTCGGGGGATGATGTGGGAGGGGGAGCGGGGGTGAGCGACGAGACGACGAAGTAGGCTCCGTCGGCGCGCCAGGATATATGTGGGAGGTTGTCGTCGTCTGGGGAAGAACCGATTCCCGGGAGGGAGTGGGTTTGTGTTTGTGTTTGTGTTTGATTTGGGGCTGAGGTGGAGTTGGAGAGAGGGGAGGAGGATTGAGCGGCTGCTTTTCCGAGCGAGCCGTGGAATTGGGTTTGTTTGGAGCCCCAGCCGAGGTTTATGGGCGTGTCTGATGAAGAGAAAATGTGTTAGAACGACAAATGTAGAAGTGAAGGAGTGAGCAGGATCGTGAGGAGGGCTTTGAAGGACGGATGGAATGTGGAGACGAGAAAAGAAGACGGAGAAGACGTACCTTCGCCGAAGTCGGAGGTGTGAAGCGGAGATTCATGCAGAGGGTCGAACGTCGATGTCATAAGTACGAGCTTGTTCTCCCCTGTTCAACCGTCAGGTCATGCCAAAGTTAGCAAGGGCCATAGAAGATTGTTATCCAGCAAATTGCACGCAGACCTACCGGTGACGAGGGTGAGTAGAGACGAATCAGGACTCCATTCTGCAGAGAGGATGCCGTCTTCAACGGAGCCAACCACCTCAAACTGCATGATAGAGTAAGGAATTCAGAATGTTAGCTTGTTCTAAGAGCTGTCGGACATGAAGATGTGGCAGGTTTGCAGGTGAGTCAGTGACGGGCAAATGTTGTATCACCGACTCCGGAGAACATGCTTGGGTTCGGTAAAGACTTGTGTGGCGTCGTAAGGGCCACACCATTCTTTTAGGTGCATTCGATCGTTTTTTGGTGCCCACATCACTCGTAACATCGCAGAGAACGAAAACCAATTCAGAATCTGATGTTTAGATTCCCGAACGCACCTCCGGAGTTGGATCATCCATCGGCAATGTCGCAATATCTCCTCCTCTCGAGACCAGCACGAGCTGTCTCTCATCCAACAGTGGAAATATTGAGACCACCTGCGGCGTAGCATCCGGGACGGAGTGATTCTTTGGAGTTGTCAAAGACGATACAAGTGTCGCAGGAGACGAGGTCTGCGTATTCATAGAACGAGGATATCGAAAATATTTGAGTGTTTCGCAAGTCGAGGGTGGAGAATGAACGCACTTGATCGTCCAGGCCTATAGCGTCGATCTTCCAAACATCGACTACTACATTCGCATCTCCATTGATCCTTTCAGATGTCATCCATAGCGTTCCATTGTCGGTGTCGAGGACTGTAGAGGTGATGCTGCCAGAGTTGAGGTCGCCGAACGTGCGTACACTCGTTTCAGCGAGCGCGAGATTGCGCATGGTGCCACAGACAGTATACCACTAGCACAGAGGCCGGCAAGTATATCTCTCTAAGAAACAAGGCAGAGGATGTTCTGAAAGCAAGTAAACAGAAGACACAAGATTTTGTGGCCCTCAAAGTGGAGGACGAATGAAGCTTGGAGGATTTCTGAGATCTAATCTAATCTAAGTCTACATCCCACGTGGTTATTATCTGTACGCTTCCTTTTCCGATCTAGAATTTGTCGATCTCTTTTTCAACTCTTCTTCCGTCCGCCTTCGCCACAAACTTGTCGGTTTTCAGAGCTGTTGTTTCTTTTAGCACTCTAAAGCGTACCTTGAATAGCTAAGGTGCCTTTTGTCTCTTTATCTGCTGCCCCAGTATGAACGGCGAACCATCCACATCCTCCAAACGTTCTCGTCCAAATGACAATAAAAAGGACGGCAAACGTCCTTACAGACACCACAACCAACAACCGAAAGATGACGCTGGAGCTACTGGGATATCTAAGCTCAAAGCTTCACTGCGCCAGACGCGGAGATTGCTCGCCAAGGTACGTCCCTATAGGCTATACTTCTCGATGTAACTACCAATGCTGACATTTGTCACATTTGTGTTATCATACATTGTTCTGTGTTGCACCTATCAGGATACCCTCGCACCTAACGTCCGTGTGCAAACCGAGCGTCGGCTCAAGTCCCTGGAGGGTGACCTCGCACGCGCAGAGCTAGCGTCAAAAGAGAGGACTATGGCGGTCAAGTATCATCGCGTCAAGTTCTTCGGTGCGTCTCTTTCTTTTGACCGTACCCCATCGCGGTGTCTGACTCTCTTTGTGTGCGAATTTCTCGTCAGACCGTCAAAAACTAACCCGCAAGATTCGGCAAATCAAAAAACAACTGTCCGATCCCTCGCTCACCTCCAAAAAAGAACGCAAGAACCTCGAGGAGACTCTATTCTCGTTACGCGTAGACCTAAACTATGTCCTCGTACGTCCCTTCCTATCCAACAACTCCAATCGTTGACTTGGGCGACGTTTGCTGATATTCAAATCGTCAATGGCATAGCACTACCCAAAACTCGAAAAATACATCTCGCTCTTCCCACCAGAGGCTCGATCCTCCTCCGACCCATCTTCGTCGTCGACCACTCCTCTACCAATTCCGCCTCCGGAAGATCTCTCAAACGCGAGCGAAACGGACAAGAAGAGGGAGGAGTTGAGAGAGGAGATTCGGCGAATGATGCATGAGGGGGGTGATGGGGTTAGTTTGATGCCGGAGGAGGAGAGGGAAGGTGGTGCGAAAGGTGGGAAGAAGGAGGCGAATGGGAAGAAGGACGGGAAGAGCAAGGTGGATGGGAAGAAGAAGCTGGAGGATGAGAGCGAGGGAAGCGAGGAGGAGAGCGAGGAGGACGACGATGAAGACGTCGAGATGGACGAACCGGATGTGAGCGAAGGTGAAGGTGATAGTGAGGAGGAGGATATCCGACCAAAGAAGAAATCCAAATCGGATCATCCAAAATCGACGAAACCTCCACCTCAGTCCACCACGTCCTCGTCGGAAAAGAAGAACAATCCAGCGTCGAAAGTATCCAAGGACAAGCCGAAACACGAGTCAAAGTCAAAATCGAAGGCAGACTCCAAACCGTCGAAGGCGAAGGCCGTATCAAAACCTGTGGAGGAGAAGGACGATTTCTTCATGGATGATTCTGAATAAGCTCCTACTTTGATCTGACTGTCTCCCGTACTGCGAAGGGCATATCGTTCCATGTTGACCAACCAGTAATATAATGTACTACATCGAGAAAGTGTTGTTGGGTACGATGTTGGGGCTGTCATTGGCGTGGTCAGGCGCCAACCTCTCGGTTCTAGGTTACGCCACCGTGGCACAAACACTGAACACCATCCTCACCTCAGCCTTGCTCCGTGCTACCCCACCTTGGCTTCATCGGTTCTGTCGACGAAGATATACACGGGTTTAATCCACTACGTCTCTTGACTTTCACTAGAAGTATACTTCCAGACATAAAGGGGCAAGTAGATAAATAGCACCCCGAGAGGGTGGGGGAAACCGCATGAGGGAGTCATATATAGCGCTCAGAAAATCGGACTGCAAGCACGTCATTAGAAGACACCAGAAAGACGAGGAACAAATACAGTATCGGGAAGGTCGCGACATAACTAGCCACTGAGTAAGGGCCTTTCCGCCCAGCACAATCATAACAGAAACCGTCCGTACAAACTTTGCTTCATAGACAAGGAATAATCCAAACCAGATCTGGGACATCAGGTGGTGAGTGTCATTATGCCGGTGAAAAAACGGGCTGCAATGTGCATACCTGGTCCTAATCATGACCTCGCCCTCCTTGAAGGTAGAAGGAGACGAGTAGGGCGAGGGCCACTCCAAGAATGAAGGTGATTGCACTTGTCACCGCAGGCGTGGGATACGGTATAACAAGCAGTGCTTCCACTGGACGTGTTCCTGCCGGGGCCTGAGGAGGAGATATCGTACGAGCTAGACACGATTCATGTGACGGAGTAAGCTCGACTGTGAGATGGACTATGAGTGCATGATAGACTGACCAGAGACGACTGAAGAGTTATGGTCGGGTTCGTTTGAGATTTCTGGATGAGGCTCCGAAGGCAATGTCGAAGAAGGCGCTGCAAAGACAACAAATTCTCAGCAAGGCCAGGAGAAGAGACGAGATCATTCGCTGACATTCCGCGGCCGATTCCATATGAGCTAGTTCCGCGTCGTCATCGACCATAGATATCGATTCAGCATAACTAAGCGTAGGGTTGACAGTAGACGAAGACGAGAAGTCATCGGAAACTTCAACTACTCTAGCTGACGACGTGGAATTCAGAGAAGTCGAGTGATCTGAATATGGTGACGCAGACCTACAAAAATTCAGAGCGGCTAGTGCCTCAGTATCGATCTCGATGGGTGGATATCCCATGAATTCAGCGACCTCGCGAGTGTCTGGATTGAACCCGAGGCGTTGGTGTACTTCACGGATGAGATCATAATGGTACTGCTTCCACTTGGCGGAATATTGGCAGTAGGCCTTCAGTGTAAGATCCTGGAGTGTGGAGCCAAATTGAGCGAAGTGCATGTCCACTTCTTCATCGCTCAAGCGCTGATCGCCTTCGGGATCCCATGCCCAGAACATCCCGGGAAAGCAGAGCTGATGTTTTGCTGGGGAAACGACGAGATCTTGTAAGAAGATGTACACTGGGCTGTCATTGAACGGCGGAACGTCAGCCATAAACGTGTTTTGAAGGCAGTAGGCAAAGTCCTGATCCCATGGCGCGACTGGGAGGTATGGCCGGCAGTCAAGAGTGAAATAACATTCGCGCACTGATTATTTTAACACGTCAGTTTTCAAAAAATCATCAGTGTGTGGATCAAGTCTGAATACCCACGGAGTTCAAACTCCGCCAAGGACTTGAAAGGGGAGTGTGCTGCTAACAAATGATGGGCCTGCGCCCACCAGATCTCGAGAAAGCTCGGGTTTAAATGAATACACTCAGACCGGAATGGCCAGTGAAAATTCCAGAGTTCTGGGTCCAATCGCCACCTAGTCGTAAAGTGTAGAGGTAGCGATGAGGCACATCTCGCCTCATCAAAACGGAAGGGACGAACCTCGTACAACACGTACCATCGTTCAATACTAATCGTTGCAAAGGCGCGCAGGTGTTTGTTTGAACCCATTGGACTGTTGAATCAGCTATTGTGGACATTGGGAGATGGCCCACAGACACAACCCTCGGGAAGCTTTCCGACGATGCCGCAACTTGAAGATCGCCTACAAAGGGCTGTAGGGCGTAGGAAACTCCGACTCTTGCCCCTTGACCCAAGACTGAGATCGAAGGACGGAAATATTCACGGTTAACTTCGTAATGGGTGTGGGAAATGATTGCATAAAGCCTATGCAGAAGGAAACGCTTAGTGCTCTCCAAAGACCTATCACCTATTCTTACCCGTGTATAGACGTCCTCGAGGACAGCCCATAACGATATTGAATCGGAGGAAAGGGCGTCGATATCGTCGTTGACTCTCACATTGACCCATTCCGACTCGAATAGAACACGTCTTGGATTCAATATATCTCGCCTTTGTCGTGTGACACTATTGTCTTGAATCACGAGGCCAGTCTCATATCTCATATCATAACCAGATGTCGAGGTTGAGAGAATTTCCGTGATGCGGAGTGAGTGAGTCCTGGAACAGACTTGGGGCTTGCCAGAAAGCTGAACAGACAAAGGAAAAGGTGTGAGCTGGGCCATTCTGCCGAGTGCCGACCGCGAAACACGCACGCAGTCCGAAGACAAAGTTGCATTTAGGTATCGCTCTGCTAACTAGTGAAGAAGACGTCAGTCCTCACATCACGTAAATTCCTCGGAACGTACCAGCAGATCAAGTCGCTGGAAAGGCATGAATAGTCTAGTCAAACGCGCTTAGATGAAAAGGAGTACTAACAAACTGCGACTCGAACAGGAACTGCTCCATTGCCGACGAATTCCTGAGGATTGCACGGTGCTCATCCAGCGTATGCGTTGTATCTATGTTGTTTCAGATAATGATTGATCTAAGCTGGGCGACAATGGCGTACCTCCATGAAGAATGATAGCAGGGAACTCCGCGGAACGTGATATACCAAATACCTGAGGAAGGTTTGGATGGCTACGCAAGTGAGCGATGGCAGATTGCGTCTGAAAAGCATAGTATAACATACCTAAGCTCCGCGTACCGTGCGAGGTCTTCGAGCAGTTTCTGCCGCTGTAGTCAATACGCCGTCAACGAATGAGAAATTGCGTAAACACGTACGGCTCTATGCTCCGTTTTGTAAACCCGTACCGTCTTTCTTTCACAGTTCCCCATGACACTAGCAATATACTCGGTGTACACCGTAGAATGAGATGTGCGAAAGCTGCGCTTCAAAGGTTCCCCATAGCGGAGGATTTTGCGTTGACGTTTCGAGAGCTTCCCCGACCGATTGATTATAGCATCAACCTCTCGGGAGACAATCGTCACAGTTGATTGTTTCACTTGTCGAAGTAGGTGGACATCTCCTTTCCGTATGAGACGGAACTTTTCGTTCACCATCAAGTGAATTAGTATCGAAGGCAGAAAACAAGACGCTAACTTACCTCTCCGTCATAGATTTGGTTACTCTTCGTGCTCTCGGCGATTTGTGTTGAGACGTCCGCGAATCCTCCTTCAACAGAGACATGCAATGCAGTGACTTGATCGCTGACACGCGACGAGTGGAGACGAGTGCCTAAAGTAGCTGCCAGCTGAAAGAAGTACAACTTCATCATGAAGGACGAGGAGCAAGGTAGGGAATAGATGCCATACCATCAGTTTACTTCGCAAGTCGACAACACGCTGCTTGTACGTCGCAATCTTCTCAGCGATCGAGTTGGACTTTAGATACTGCTTCAGGCGTCCACGATCACTTCCTGTCATGGTTTCCAAGTCGCTGAGAATACCCTCCAGGTCGCTGTACCAAGTAAATAAGCGTGAATAGACGAGAGGATACAGATGTAGAACTAGGACGACTCACTACGTGAAATTGATGCACATCTGCTGAAAATCGAGCACCGAAGCACTTTCAGCCTTCGCTGTGACTGCGTGGACGGCCTGTATGAACTCCACAATTGCTTCTGTGAGCTCCTTCAAATCCCTGCCATTTTTCCCGCATTTCTTTCAGCGCAGCGTTTCGGCATCAGCGGATATTTATAGCACACAGAGCAGAGGCAATTACCTGGACCATTTCTAAGAACTTGACTACGAGGCTCGCCGCAGGACTGATCCATGCAATGGGTGTGATTTGAGCTGCCGTCGAGATGAGATTCGCAGCGTCGATGGCTCGTCCGAGCCAGTCGTCGGCTCTCGATGTTGAAGGAGGAGGGCGAGCGCGATGCTGAGGAGAAGATGATTCGGTGATTCCGATCGCAGGTCTCGGAGGGCCTTGAGCTGTCATGGTGCAGTAGTGGAGGTAACACGAAACTGGTTCTACTATGAGAGATGTAGGGGATGCAAAGAGAGCGGAAGGCTTGGGGGATTGCGCTGGAGTATGCTTTAAAGAGACGCGCCTGGGATCCTTACATCAGGGAGCTGTGCATGAATACGCGCCGAAAACTGACACGGGGTGCACAGGCCAGCTCAGCTATATATGGACCTCCAAAGACGCTGGTAAAGAACGATTGGTCTGAGAAATGTTACTCAGGCCTTTATTGGTGCCACACTATGTGTGGCCCAGCCCAGTCATTTTAATGGACTTTGGCCTGCCGACCAAGCGTGGAACTTTTCACCTTGCTACACCTTACTGCGCCATCTTTTCTGGTCCGCTTCGCCATATGGGTTTCTCGACGTTTCGCGCCACCTTTCAAAACGCTTGACATTGGTATACTGGCGGTGAACAAGTCGTCTGCTGAGCCCACCATATGCAAATCAAGTCTTGTACGGAGGACGTACCTCAGCACTTGAAACCGGTCACTGCTGGCCACATGTCCTCCCATATCAGAAAGCTCCCCACTCTGTCTCGTCTACTATGGATCAAAACTGAATATGGCCGGCGAGCCTGAGGGCGTTGATAGAAGAGGTGGGTCATTGATAAACTTTCCTATTCGATAGAAAGATGCCCAAAAACCTGAAAAATCATCAACATAGGGGCGTTTAGGAAATTCGAGAAGCTCTGGGTAATCTGAGGGCAGCTTTCCGTGAGTTCTGGTGATCACTGGAGGGTCAGCAGCCAGGTCCGGTTGAAGGGTCACTGGTTGCAATGCTTGGCTAGCACAATCTGGGATACTTAATCTTGGACAAAACGATCGCACTTGTAGGAATCAAAAAGAACCCATTCGAAACGATGGTGAGTAGAGGAAAAGGTGAAGTTGAGGAGCGACGCGACAGTGGCGACTCTTGTCTGAAGAGTACTATCAGGCTCACAGTCAACTCACAGTCGACTGAAGAATCGACTCGGAGAGTGTGTGGGGAACGAGCGATGATCCACGGTCCGTGCGGAACGGAACGCGCTCGTTCACGCAATTTCCCGATGAAGACAAGTTCAATGGAGTAAGATGGCGGGAGAACCGCGTCGCAACCTCGACCTTTCAGCTCTGTTCCGCTTCTCCATCTCTTTTGCAACGACCACCACCACATACTCTCGACTTTTTAGTCTGCCTCTGGCATCACTGGCTGCTCACGACATTCTTGACGCTTCTTTACACCACCGGACACAACTGGCTGGTCATTGACCCGCTGCCTCGAGATCCTCATGAGCAACAGCTCCCCGACGGCTTTTCTTCTGTGGTCTATCCTTTCAGCGCTTGTGAGCATCATGGAACGACCCTGAGTCTTTCCAAGACTAACATACTTCAACTGTCTCGTTGTTTCTGCGCATGCATTTCCTTCAGTTCCTCATTTTCTTGGTATACCACATCTGGAGTTACGACAAGTTTCAATGTGTTAGGTGGAATGGAGGGAGGCAACCGGGTGCCTTCAAACGCATCATGACCGTGAGTCACTTCTGTCGGAAATTCTCTAGAGGTGCCATCTCACTTCATCAACTTCTTCGCCTCTCCACCAGTATTCATACCTCATGACTGTGCCATTACTGCTCGTATTTGCCACCGGCTTGACTGTGCTAAAATACCAGGAAGGTCAGTGTGTCTCCCGGGCAGATCTAGCAATTCGATTAATCACACTTGACGACAATTCGTTACCGTGTCTGTTTGCAATATCCAACGCCGTTCCGCAGGCTTTGTGGGAACATCAACGACGGTGGCTACTAGTCAGTTGATTCATTTTCATTCGCATCACCCGTTCTTCTGCTGACACCGAAATGCGTAATGTGTCTCGGCAAAGTCATACCGAAGCCTGTGGATATGTGGCAATCGGGACACCGCTCAATGATTCTCCCGTTGTTCTTCGTGTTCAGTTTTGCTTGGGCGTTAGAACTGTAAGTCCACTTTTCGTCTGGTCAGCATGACTTGCGTGTGGGTCGTTTCAATCTCTTCCACTATCGTTCGGTTGTTGAAGATAGAACCGAACGTAGACGGCGATGTGTTTAGCCATCGTTGTAAGACTCTAAGCTTGAGCGGTGTTGCTCATTAGGTTGTACATCATCCCCATCCACATCCCAACACGCGCATGCCGAGCATCCCGACGGATTGTGAGACCACCTTCTTAATTATGATTATGCGCTAATATGAGTTTGTTTCTGACTGCAAAGCATCACGCACTTCGAGGGTGAGCACAAGAGCGTTATCGTCTCATTGACCGGCTCCTGCGCTGAAAGTCATGTCATCCACAGAGCTTGCCTTCTGGCTATTCTTGCTGGATCAAGGACCGAGTAAACGAGAGTGGTTCACGAGCTGGGAATATAGGATGTGGTACTGCGGTGAGCCCGCCGCTTTCTTCCACCATCAAGTTTAGATGAATTGATCTGCCCGTTCAGGATGCGTCGTTGCCTTCTTGGGCATGCCAATTACAGCACTCGCTGCTCGGCATGATTTGGACAAGGTATGTATAGTCACAGCCTTCACATGACCATGTAAGAGCTGCTGCCGCTCACTCACCCGTTGCGGCCGTGGTATATGTTTGTCCTTTCATCCTCGACGCCCGCAGATCGACGCCTGGATCTTTCTTGTAGGATCATTGGGGTCAACCGTAACAAATGTCACCTTTGTTTATGTGTTGATACGTTTTCCTGCTTTTCTACGTCATGTCAAAGCCGAGGGTGCGCAGCCTGATGTTGTCGTTCGGTTGTCCACGTTCTTTGAATTAAACGTGCGTGTTCTTTCGCTCTCCTCGAAACGTGTGATGCCGGGCACCATACTGATACGGGAAACCTCTCGTACGTCTACGGCTTTGTAGCTCATCCGCGTCATCTTCCGATTCGCTACGGGGCTGTCCTTGTTGATCCTCGCATCAGACGGGATTCGGACGATCCATCCCGTGAACAACAGCTTGTGAGCCTTCTTTCTCCTTTTTTTAAAAAATACGGTCTCATCGTACATTCGCGTATCAACATCATCAACAATTTAGGTTTTGGTCAGGTATGTTGTTTCCAGTGGGGCACTTTGATCTCTGACTGCGTTCTCCCTGCCATCACGAAATGTTGACTAATCACTTTCCATAGATTTCCTGCTCTCCATAGCTGCTGTTGGTCAAATTGTTTCGTCTACGATAACCCTTCTTGTACGTTCTTCGTTCTCTTTCTACAACACGACCGCATCACATGCCCACAAAATACAGATTTTCTTCCCCCGTTCCCTCGCTTCGGAAGCAGGCTATCACGCCAAAGCTCCATCAGCATCCAGCCATATCGGTTCAACCCAGCCGTATACCATTCCCGACGAAGACCATCAAATCGTCTCTTACGCCATCGATGTTCAATCCTTTCCCACCGACGCTTCATCACCAAAATCTCTGGCACCGACGTCCCTCATCCAATCACCCATCTACTCACCCACTCCGACTCCTGTCCCTCCCGGAAGTCAAGCGAGCACACCTGTTGTTTCTACCTCCACACCACCGTTCCATACGTCTACGCCGCTGAGTGGATCACATCATGACCACGATGTACGCCAAGTATCTACGCCTCGCAGTCCACAAAACCAAGACTCGCCGAGTACCAGCATCAACGAACTCTCCGATCATGGACATGTCGCTCGACACCTACATTTAGTCATTGGAGACGCTAGCGACCACCCAGACTATGTTCTAAGAGAGCAGAATGAGGATCATGATCGTGATGTGGACCATGACGAACCGGTACCAGGATATAGTGCTCCGTATCACGAACACGCACAACTTCCAGCTCCCTATCATTTCGCCGGGAATCATTCTCAGGGTAGGAGTGGGAATGCACCAGTGGGTCCGACTTCACCGCATATCTCGAGCGAGGATGGACCCACGCCGAGTCGCACTGGTCCTAATAGTACATTTGGCGCTGGAGGCATGGTGAGGAGGATTTTGAGGGAGCAACGAAGTGCTCCGATGGCTCTTTCGAGTAGGGGCGGTTCACCGAATGTGCTGCAGGGTCCTCGCATCGGAGTTGGTCCTGGGGCTGTGAACCCTCAGAGTCAGAGTGCGAGCGAGCGGGCAATTGGGCTTGCGGTGAGGGGACCGAGACCTGTGGGGGTGAGGCATGGGAGGGGAAGGAGCACGTCGAGTTTGCATCCTTATGTGAGTGTTGTTCTCTTCGCACTCCCTGAACTTGTACACTTGGGTGTGTCGTGCCAGTTCTCAGCGGAGTACCTAGTAATCCAGCGCCTGTGATCTCGTGATGAATAGTTGCTAATTGGTGTTTTGATATCTTTTTGACGTTCAGGTTACCAACTTCCGATCCCCCATCGGTAAGTCGTCGATACCAATCCGTTATACGACCTCACTTTCGATATTCGTCGATATGGCTCTACTCTATCTCTGTCCTCCCCATCCATAAACCACATGACTGCATACTGACGTCGAAGCTCCCTTTTGACCTTAGATCTCGTCGATACTTCACTGGAAGCCACGACTCCGCCATATCATCAATACGTTGAACCGAATCTCGCTCAGCCATGAATCTGGCACTTGAAAGACACGATGCTCGTGATTTTATTGGGCTCTTTCTTTCCATATTCTCGGTGTTGCTCTTTCGTGCTTTCTGTACTACTTCTTTGTACTGTTGATACCATTTCCTGCTCTGTTCTTTTTCCAATCACATACCCACGCCATATATATCCATGGTCTTGTAAAAGTATGAGCTAACATCCTACCCGAATATATTATTCTGCATCGAAGCGATGCTACCCCTTGTATCCCTACTCATGCTGTCGCCACATTCAGCGCCACTCTCCTTGAACATGCTCATGACGTCAGCTTGATCGGATTTCAAATACTGTTCAGGAGCGCCGGACGTTGCCGAGACAGCACTGTCGCCTATTTGGGCTATTTTTCTGATATCTTCTCTTTCTCGACCGCCATTCTCTCCTCTGAAATCCTTATCCACAACTTATTCTTCGACATTCCCTTCCTTTTATTCCTTGGGCTCATACTTTCTTGAGATTGGCTGAACCGAGGGAGCCTCTCTGCAGGTTCGCACCATCCAATTAATTTCACGGGTAAAAGGTCTCGCAGATCTCCGCTGAACGCTCTAGCCAGATCAAGTAAACTGTCTACATACATACACAGTGTCATATTCTTTCCACGTCTCCGCCACAGTCCATACCCTTGGGTCTCCGCCCGACCTTCTGATATATAACCACTGTCATCTGCCCAATCGTTCGTCCGAATATCCACGCCTCTCAAACCGCACAACGATCTCAAGGCCAGCCCAAATTATACATCCCCATCCTTACATGGAACAGGCCGGTGTTTCTTCTACCGTCCGTTCCAATACCGGTCTTAGCAATGACCTTTTCCACGAGTTGAAGAGCTCTATCAGGGGAGACCTCTTCAGGCCGAGCGAACCCTTGTGCGTTGCCTTCTGTGCATCTTTGAGCCTCTTGTTACTTACAGTTTTCTAGGTTCATGGAACGGTCGAAGATGTTCAACGGGAATGTCTTATGCACGGCCAAAGCGGTCACATCACCACTGGATGCTGTGGATGTTAGCAAGTGAGCGTCTTTCCCGCTTTACTTTCCTCTCTTCGTGTCTTCCATCGCGGCCCTGGTCAGTGACTAGGTATGAAAGAACCGCAGTAGAACGGGGGCAGAATTCCTGCACGTCAGACAATCCACTTTTGTCGTTTGGGGAACGTAGCATGCCGTCTCTGATGACTGCTGGAGATGCACCGACGTCCGTCGCAGGTTTACGAGTTCTTCGTTCCCGCCCCGCATACGTTGTCGTACTTTCAACCTTCGGTATTCAGTTACTTGCGTGGTCAGGTCCCTGGCCCTCTGTATCTCCATTACACCTGCACTGGTTGCGCTCAAAGATCTGAGAATGGCTTAGTGCTTATCAGACTTTACCTCGTCGAGGATCAAGGTGTACGTTGCGCCCTTGCATGTGCCCCATATTTGCATGTTCGAGGGTTGCGGGGAGGCATATGGAACAACCTATCAAGTTCTCGCGGTCCGCCACTGTTTACGGTCTTTCGCCCTGGGCGGTTGAGCCAAATGCAATGAACGTCCTTGTTTGCAGGCATAATATTCACCCGAACTCCGCCTTCACTGCTATTCTGGTCCGCCTCTGAATAAACTGGGCGTTTTTTTCTTCTCATTGAAGACTATAATGCCTGGCTTTGAACTTCATGCATCCCTACGACCCAACCGTTTGGAGCACATCTCGAATGATCTGTTTCTTGTCACCCTTTCTGTCGCACTGTGCAACCATCTGACCGAGAGGTACCCGACCCGCAAACATTATACAGCTGTCAATCCAGTTTATCCCCTATCGGTGTACTCGTCCGATCTACGATGCTATTTCTACATCGCCATGCTTCCCTCATGCAATTCAGAGTTGTATTGTGCGTGAACGCCACCCATTCTTCCCATTCTATGGAAGTATGTTCAGGCGTCTGCGTGTTCCGACTCGGTGTGGCGTCGTGCGTTTTCAGGTTCCTGTCCCTCGACATGTTGAAGGAGATTTTTCCATTATATTCCATTCTGACTCCCTGGCAGACTATACAGCGATGTCGTATGGGGGCGGTATTGTCGTCATCCTCTACGGTGTTCGTCCCGATGCGACATATTGCATCGATTCTATTCTAGTGAGCTTCCTGCGCTTTCTGTTTCGAACCGCGGCAGTAGTAACACTGCTGACAGTATCAGAAAGCCTGTCTGATACACTTTTGGTGCTCCCGGCTGCGGAAGCGCCCTCGTGGAGGTCGAGAGTGACGAGCTTAAGCTTATCCCGTTCACTACCGAGGCGAGCGCCAGGAGTTCAGTCCGCGCCGGACGAACTCTCTGTCTTTGCCTTTGACCTGGTATGGACTTCTAGTTCTGCTTGTTCCTACACCCGTTAAAATGGATTCGATCTCAATCGCACTGCTGGTTTCATTATCTATCTCGATATCGTGCGCCGTTTATCATTTTACAAGTCGCTGATGACATCGTTCGTTTTCTTTTCCTTTTTTCCCTCTCGGTGCAGAATAATCCTCTTCTGCCGCAAACACAACCTCAGCCCATCCGTCAAAGCTGGAGGATATGGTACCGCGGGATGGGCCATTAACGGGGACATCATCATCGACTTATCTAGGCTGCACGACATCGATATCGAGCCGCCTCTTCACTATCAGCCAACAGACGAGGCTATCTCATCGGAGGAGAAAGCGCCGTTACCATGGACGTCGTTGAAGGATACGCCTACGGGTGGGTCGAAGGGCAAGGGAAAGGCCGTTGTCACCTCCCCGCCGTCGGTATCGCCAACGAACATGAATACCAAGCCAATGTCGCTCACCAGTACCATTCTTACGCCTAATTCTACGAGCATCACATCGAACAAACGACGTCGGTCACCTTCACCTCCTTCCTCCGCGGCTCACCATCAGTCCACCCAATCCGTCAGAGATATGGATGGAGACGTGTCCATGTATTCTTCTTCCTCCCATATCCGCTCCACCCCATCCACGGTCCTCAATCCAGCTTTGCAAGCCTTCCTCTCTGGGCCAGCACTTTCGCGTAATTCATCAGAGGACGATCCAAATGGAGATGGGTACGACGAACCGAGGAGGCCGCCGGCGCATAAGAGAAAGATTACGACCGTTGAGGACGACAGGATTGAGCGGGAGAAGGCGAAAGAGAGGGGGAGGGAGAAGGAACCAAGTGTGGGACTAGATGCGGAACGCGCCGGGACGGACTCCTTACTCCCGGAGCAAGCAGAAAGGCAGACGTCGACGGGTTCGAAGAAGTCGGCAGATTCAGGTTTTGGGTCTTTGGGCTCGCCATCTGCATCTACTTCGAATACGTCAACGTCGACTTCGAAGGGTGATTCTGGGTCAGGATCGGGGTTGATGAGCACCAGTGGTTCGGGTGGGTCTGGGAGTGGGAGTAGGAGTGGGGGAAGTGCAGTCGGGACGGGTACAGGCACAGAGGAAGCGTCCAATACGTCCACCAAGGCGACGACGCCAGAACAGGACAATGCTCAGGAAGGTGCAGAGACAGTCGTAGGAAGTGGACCGGTCCAACCGTCCATATCCAGAGCTGCGTCGGAGTTCGGGCACTTGGGTTTGGGCTTAGGTGGCGGTGGCGTCACACGGAGCTCCACGTACGCTTCGGGTACAGGCAGCGGCGGTTATGGTTCGGACCCATTCGGATACATGGCAGGTTCAGGAGGTCATTCGAGCTTTGCACCACCATTGATGTGGAGCGGGGCACCGGGCACAGCTGGGCATGAGCACCATTCGCCTTCGATGGCTGGTACTGCGTCCGGAGTTGGAGGAGGTTCAGTGTCGGATAGGCTGATGAATATGGCGGATCCGTTCGCCCCTGCTCCCTCGTTTCCTTCTGCTTCTCCTAGTGGAGGTACGATAGAGACTAGGATGGCGAATGTGAGTGGATGGGTGGATAGGAATGCGAGCGCGATGATGAGTGGAGCGCCTGATCCGTTCGGGTACATGAGCTCGGACTCGAACTCGGGAGTGGTGGATCGTTCGGCACAAGCTTTTTCGGGTGTTGCACCTGGAGAAGGCTCACACTCCAGAGGGTCGACTCCGACACCCACCGAGATCTCTGGTACGAGAGCAGGTGGATCCTCTGCGAGCAAGCGACCATCAGTGCCATCACAATCCCCAATAGTCGCTACCGCTGCGTCTTCTTCCTCCGCACATGCATCCTCCTCTTCGTCCAGCCATCTTCCCTCCTCCCACACCGCTCCTGTCCACCCCCCATCCCAGCTAGGCTCCGGAGTCGGTGGGGAAGGAGGATGGGGTGAAGTCGAACCGCTGTATAAAGAGGCATATGTTACATTTGGAGCGGGCGTTATGGCGAAGGAAGTAGACTTGTGGACGGCGGAACATCCACTAGATGGGAAAGAGGGACCGGTGGCGGTGGCACCAGCCAGCGTGATGAGTCCGGGTTGGACCGGGGAAGACAGTGGGCTTACGACGAAGGCAGATGAAAAGAGGAGGGAGGGAGGATCTCCAGGTGCGAAATCGAGGAAGGTGGTTTATCATGTGCCTTTGTGAGTACTCCTTTTTTGACTGGTGAGCATAAGAGCTGATCGATCCCAATGCCTCGGTTTTTTTTCTTCGATGGATGTATATGCCGTGCTCTTGGTTATGGCATTAATAGTGCTGCACATCCAGTCGGATCTTCGATTATGTTGCTTGGCGGTTTCGGATTCTTGAGTCGACTACATGGTCTTAGTATTGATAATCTGGTTGAGGTGGAGATGGTTCTTGCGGATGGGAGCATCGTGGTTGTTAATGAGAGGGAGTACCCTGGTGTGTATCCTTCTACGGGTTTTCCTTGGGAACATGGTGACTTGTGGCGTTGATTTTTGTCCACCGCTTTATTTAGATCTGTGGTGGGGAATACGTGGTGCTGGGCCTACGTTTGGTGTGGCGACGAGGTACAAAGCTAGAGCACACCCTATACCCGTAGTTTTCGCGGGAAACCTGATCTAGTATGTCTCAGCGTTCACCACCACTCACCGTGATAGTGCCCTGAAACCCTTTGCTTCCTTCCTCGCCGCACCGTCATTAGCCGATTCCACCGCGCCACTGCTGCCTCATTAATACGCCACTTCCGTGACTGCGTCAAAGGCGCTCCACGCGAGCTCTACGCCAACGTTCTGCTCACCGCCGGACCCGCCGACAAGGACTCCCTCGTGGTCGTTCAGATATGCTATGTTGGTCCGAAAGAGAAGGGCAAAGAATTCCTGGAGGCGATCAGTGCGTGGTCGGGAGAGAGGTGTCTTTTGAACGAGGTCGATGAGAAGAGCTTCCTATGTCAACAAGATAGTGTGGCGCAGGTTTTGAGGGCGAAGGGTGAGTTTTTTCCCTGTTAGTCTGGCGTTGATGCGGCCTTGCATAATATATTGCATCAATGTCTAATTCATCTTGTATTGGGCTATGTAGCGGGAAGACAGTGGTTCATCCGTTCAGCACTCGTGACCTCCTTACCGGACGACGTGATAAGTCAGACTGTCACTTCCTTCGCGGACACTCCTATCGGCTGCAGTTGGTATCCTCTTTTCCCCTCAAATGAATATATCTGAATCAGCTTGGCATTTGCTTCCAGCGTGGTTGTTTGAGCTGGCCGGTGGTGCCATCGCAGACTACGAAGATACTTGCATGCCTAAGAGTCAGCGAGAGGCCGTCTTCACCGTCGCGGCACTTCATCAATGGGATATGGGTATCAATGACCCCAGGTGTGTCGAAACAGCGGAGGAGTGGTTTAAGGAGACCATTGCACCTGTGTCTACCGGTGGTCCCATCCCTTCTGTAAGTGTGCCCATCTCGTCGTGCCCCTCGTCCCCAATCTCCTATCATCATCACGAGACACACCTAACAAGCCTTATTGATCCTTGTAATTCATAGTTCCTTGGCCGCGCCGAACCCCCTTCTCGCGTAATGGCATCCTATGGCGAAAATTGGCCAAGGCTCGTGGAATTGAAGAAGAAATATGATCCTAAGGGCATGTTCAGGAATACATTCTGGCCACTTGGGGAGGACGCACATACTGTGATCGGTCCGTCAGAGCACGAGCCCAGGTCCGCGCAGGAAGGTAAGAACGGGGAAGGGGTGAATGATATATGATTTGGTACGACGCGTGCTCTGGCTTTTGGGCAATTAGGTTGAAGTCGTCGGTGCTGTGATATTTCTTTATCTTTCTGTATGTATGCCCCTAATTGGTTTGCCTGCTCACGAACGGTGCCCTGAGTACAGATGTTGTCTCATTCCTATCATGTCATCGTCAAGTTATCGGTATATGGTCACTCGGTTTTTGCTCCTGGCCTGCCCGATACTTCTTTTATAACTAATCATCATGTTAGTCCGAACTACTTACCCCACTATGTTTCGTCTGCTTGTACATATGTCAAACCTCTTGTGCTCGTTGGCCGATGATTTAATCCTGCACACTGTTCACTAATCTATATGCATTGTGAGGCTTCTTTTCTCCCGTGCTGAATGACTTTGCTTCATTCGCGATATACTTTTCGACGGGGAGATGAATGAGAGTATGTCTACCTATCCGTCCCTTCTTGCCAGTACGCGCTGACGTTGAAACCATAGGTATGTCTCCGTGATCCTGAGCAGAATGTGATGCAGAAGAGCTTATCTGCACGTTTACCTCAATTGCGTGAAAATCTCATCACCTACATATCAAGCTGGCAGTAAATGTATTATTTCACTTTTCACTGTGAGAGGCGGCTTACCTTTGATCAAGGGCCACATATTGTCATTGTATGGATAGTAGCAGGTGAGCCGGAGTTTGTGCTGTGCTCTTGCCAGCGGATCGGAATCAACAAAGACGTGCGCAGGCACTGAATGGGGAGCTTACGTGAATCCTTCCAATCCATCAACACGTTTCATGGGGTACTTGCCTTGCGCTCTTGGCGAATCGCCGGGTGCAGGCCTGTGCAGGCTATATAATTGACTTCTATATATCACAGGTCTCCTCGTTTCATGGACAAAGGTGGCCAAGGTTAGCGCTCATTGATGATACTAATGGATTGCGTCTCCACAGGCAGGAGGAATATTCTGCTTGCATCCACCCACATCTTTTCTCCTTCTCTCTTTCCAGTGGACGGTTGAAGTGCATACCGACAATGATAGACCGCGCAGACGAGGCCTTCCTCATTGGCGGATGGTGTGTTGCCTCGCTGTGGGGTAAGTACGTTCAGCTCTTTCGTGACCACATTTGATCGCAAATCATCGATTATTCGCATGGGTAGGTCTATTTACAGCTTTGATCTTCCATTGCCTTTATCAAGCCCTCCAACGACGCAGAAGGGGCTCGAATCGGTCATTGTATATCACGACGACTGCTGTGATAGTCTTGTAAGATCTGCCTCGTCTCTTGTTGCTATTTTCTAACACCTAAAACATATCTTTGCTTCATCTTATTAGGTACACACTTGCCACGATATATGCAGCACTTGCGTTTGCAAAGCTCATTGACGGCCTTATCTTCACGGAAGGCACGGAAGAACGTATACGATATTTTGCCAATAATGGGTCGGCGACCAGTGTAATCGGACTTGCGCTATACGACTTTATCGTGACCACTATTTATTCCCTATTGACTCAGTCTTACAGCTAACTTGAAGACTGTGTTATGCACACTTTTGATAGTTTGTGATCAGCGATGGTGTCCTGGTGTGGCGTCTGCACATCATTTGGGGACGGAATAAGTGGGTAACGTTCCTCGCGCTCGTTCTACTTCTGGCAGAAGCAGGTAAGTTGTCTCTCCCACGTAGAGCACCTGATAACTCCACATTGTTGACACGTTGAACGTCCGATCTTCAACACCAAGGTCTGCCTGTGGGAGACTACCATATTGATATTCCCTGACATTTATTTGCATCTAGGAGGGTCTTTCGCCGCCATTGCCTGCTATTCGCCTGCGCTGTTTAATAATGCACGCGCCACTCGCGCCACGACGGTCTTCCTCGTTACATCTCTTTCTATCAACTGCGTCATACCCTTATTAACGGCTGCTCGCATATGGTTCGTGCTCATTCATCGTTATATCCATTGTATCTGCACGTGCCATGTTGCTCACGCACAAGCGGAACTGTCGTAGGTGGATGTCCTACTCTATAGAACGAACTTCCCGCGTTCGCTTCCCGCCGATGACCTCTCGCTATCGCATCATTCTCCACTTAGTCCTCGATTCTGGTTTAATTCTCACCATTGCGAAGATCTTCGAACTAGTGTTCTTTCTCCTCTCCACGGAACCGGATGTAACTGGAAGAACGAACGAGACGTTTAGGGTCGTCAATGAGATGTTGGCTATGATCGCTGTGAGCCCCTTTCCCTTTTCCATGTACTACATGAACCCCTGCAGCCACTCTTCCATTACTTCGCGAGATAGAGCTGATTGGAATGCTTGGGAGCGCAGGGCATTGTTCCAACCGTCATCGTCATCGTTGTGAACACTACGTCTGCGTCTGCCGCCAACCGCGACCCGTTGGAGCCTGAGATACAGACTGCGGCGCTTCAGTTTCCTGTGCCCGTGCAGATGGAAGAGCGGCCGAACCAGCCTTATGAAACGACTGACGCCATATTCGCTCCCTGGACGCCAAATGTCTCCCTGGAGCCACAAATCGATAATCGGTCATCTGTGAGCGCCACTGCCAGCGTTGAGGACGATGGTGCAGCGGGAAAGTCAACCCGATGAGGAAGCTCAAAATCCTGTGTGATTGATACTCTCAGCAGCTTTCGTCTTCCCAAGGAAACCCTTGTGAGGCCTCACCTACTATACCATTATCGCTCATCGACTGATCTTCGAACACGTTTTCGTTACTTAACAGTTGTACTGTAACCTCTCTGTGATGTATTCTTCTTATGAAACTGAACACCCCATCTCGGGTACTGTACTTTTTCGACCAAAGGTTCGTCACGCGTTCTCCGCGTTGATGAACCGAACAAAATACTGTGTGACCTCACGCATAACGCAGGGTGAGCGAACAGTGACCTCGGCAGGCGCTTGCGCAAAATAATCATTTTCGCAAGCGCCTACGTTGTTTTCTGAACCATTTACGGGTCCCGTCACGCTCACGCACGGCTTCTGAACCGTGACCCGGGCGAAACTGATGGGTGACGTAAATTCTTCATGAACCTTTGGTCGAAAAAGTACAGTATTTTATATGCTTCTCGCACCCTTGGTTGCTGAATTACAAGTCAACATTTGGCAGGTTGTTCCACGTACATTTCTGACCATGTCAGCCATGCTTTCCATCGCTTATCATGTTACGAATAGTATTAAGATATTTGAGAGCAGTGCCCTGCAGGGGAGTTGAGCCAGTGGTACCACACATGCTGCTTCCTCGACAAGCTATGGCTGTGCTAAGACTAGACAATCCGTGTCAACTACAATGTTTCAGGCTAGCGCTCAGACTTGCTACTAATAGGCTCCATGAGCCTGTGTGATCTTCCTTGTCACAATGCCCCCTCACCCACGGTTGATTACACTTGGACCCCGTCGATCTCGGCCTTGTCCGCCATGATATACTGGGCAGACGAAGCTTTCTTCACCGCGGGATGGCTTATATCGTCACTGTGGGGTACGTTTAGACCTTCGCATTGACGCAAACTGTCTAGACTGTTGACTGATCGCGCAGTGATCCCAAGCAGGGGTCCTCACCAAACATGTTGCCAGCGCCGAGAACGGGTGCAGAGTCCCGAGACGGTGGTTAAGACCCAGTACAGGGAGGCATATAGCTCTGGCTTAGTCATTTAAGTCGTCGTCACCAGTGCAATGTGGCTCAACAAATGGGGACATTGGAACTTGCTGGTCCTGTGCGCTTGACACGTATTCCCGGTAGCTAGTCACGCCACAATCAGATCTTGAAGGCCTACTGAATTGTAGCAGCCACAACCCCCCGACACCGACTGATTCCAAGTCGACACCTAGAACCCAAAATTATGTTTCAGCCACCCACATTTGGTCCCTTTTCCATCAGGTGAAGCCGAAAGTCATCACAACCGCAGTCCCCCAACACCATCCATAATTCGTCTGAACACGTCATCTGGATCTTCAGGAGTTCCCTCCTCGCCGTCTGAATCAGAAGCACCGTGCTTTGAGTCTTTGCCAATACGGGGGACGGATCGCGGTGAATCTGTGGCACCATGCGTCGTCGAAGGTAAGCTGAAACTATCGTGAGTACTGCGAAAGAAGACGCACCTCTAGCTTTACCTGCAGCAAGCTTGCTTCCAGCTTTCGTCTTTGGTGTTTTTGTGGGGTCACCTCCACGGGTACGAACCGTGAAAAGAGGTTCGAGTTTACCGGTCTTACAGGCGCCGCAAACTAGGGAGTATGAGCGATAATAATTGAGACTGCGACCCTAATGCAACGCGCGAGTACTGCGTGAAAACCAAGGAAAGCAAAGGTTCACTCACCGACTTCGTCTGGCCTGATAGACCTACTGAATCGTCCATAACTGTAACGCCGTATGATCAATCATAGGGTCTCCAGCAAGAAAGTTGGGACGGAAGAGCGTACATCTTAGCACAGTTTCCACATTCTTTACAGCAAAAAGTTAGTCAGCATGACTCCATTTGTTCATCAAGGTAATGAAGTACACGGCCGAAGGCTTACCCCACTGGTATGGATAGGTGATATCGTAATCGTGTCTCGTCTAGAGTGGACATGGAACGCAACAAGAGGTAGGAAGTAAGAAGGCGGCCCGTGCGTATAGCTTCTAGGCTCACCGTTATTTCGATATCTGGACGTTTGCGCATTATTTTCGTTGCCCTATTCCAGGCTCCAGTTGGAAAAAAATTCCGCAGAACAGTCCTCCACTCACCAAGACTTGAAGATCTTTCCGTGACCCTCTTTCGGGTTCTCATTGATGATCCAACATGCCAAGTGGCACATCTCATGCGATAGAGTATTCCTGATTCTCTCTACGAAACGTTAAGGTCTACGCGTGCAACGATGAAACGGTCAACTCACCGTCACAATCCAAAATCTTCACAGCCAACTCAATCTCTGTATCATCCGTGACCACCTCCCTTCTTCCTCCCCCATCCTCATCGCCTCCCATCGCACTCATCGTCCTCGTTCTTTTCCACTTCGCCCTCCCCGCAGTCGTCAGCAACCTCGCACTCCAAGCTAACTTCGTCTCGCTCGGCAGACCACCTCCAAACACGACCTCATTCAGTTCGTTGAACAGATCTTGAGCGTACTCCGCACGACGCTTCTGCTCGGCCTGTTGAAGTGATTTCTTCGTAGTGCGAGGAGCGCCAGGCGTTCTGCGAGCGGTGCTTTGTGGTGTTTGTGGCGTGTCGAGAATAAAGGGGTTAGGTTGGGTGTGAGCGCGGGGTGGTGTGGTGGGGCGGCCACCCCTACTTGGACCAGCATCCTGACCGTCTCCAGACAACTGCTTGGTTTTTCGAGGGCGAGGGGCTGGCGTAGGATGAGATATGAATGTTCGGGATCCGTTCACGGGAGTCCCTGGAAATGCGACAGGTGTTGGATCAGCTTGTCGTATCTTCGTCTTCGTGTTACGCTTCGGAGCACCACCATCGGAGCCAAAGTCGGGGAGATCGACGGTTTGAAGGCCAGGAAGGGGGATTTTACGGGATGTGGATGGAGTGGGACGATGTTGAGGTGTCACTGGTATAGGTCTTCGCGCTGATTTCGGTTCATTCCTTTCATATCTAGGTTAGAAGACAAAGGGGAAAAGATTCGCAGCAGGTGGTACGTACAGAATCAAGATTGCACCATCTTCGTCGTCGTCGTCATCACCCGGGAAGAACAAAGGCATATCTTCTTTCGGTTTCGGTTTAGATGGGGGCGGAGCCGGTGGAATACCGACAATGAGGATCTGTTCTTCAGCGCCTCCCTCCTCTGAGAGTTCTGAGTCGGAGCTGATCTCGATGACATCGACCTCAGCAGCTGAAACACGAGTTTTACCCTTCGAAGTAGACTTGGGGATGAGTTTCGAAGGGGAGGGGAGCTCATCTTCCGATGAAGAGCTGTAGATGACACGACGCGCCCGTGCACTGGCCTTGTTCGGGCTCGATGGTGCTTTGAAAGGCTCGTCTGAGAAACTGAATGGCAGCGAGGTCAGACAGGAATGGTAAGGTGACTCCTTCAGTTGATTAAGGAGTTGTATTACCTATTACGTGAGAACGAGGATTGGGTGCGGAGAGTCTTGGTACGGAGTTGGCCACTCTCGCCCGTCTTCCTTTGGACTTTACTAGCTTCGACAGTCAGGGAGCTGGGCGCCGATGGTCAACCCTGTGTCAAAATGTCTCTAATGTGCGGTTGCGTACCGATGAGAATCAGCATCACTACCTTCATCCTCCTCCGAACTCGATGATATCTCAATGATTTGCTCCTTCCCTGCTAAGGCCGATGGCGTTGGCTTGGGTCTCGTAAACTGAGTTGGATTAGTTCTGGCCATATTGAATCTATAACGAGTAAATCAGGTCAGTCGATGCCGTTGATTGCTACTAGTCAAAAATTTGGTAGAGCGTAAAGCTGCAAGTCTGCCCCGATTGGACTACAATGGCTTACTAGGAAGTAAGTTCGACACTGCGTGGTGTGGCTGATAACAACCCATCGCAACATCAATTCGCGGGATAAGATGGGGTTAAAAAATAACATCCACGATTCCTTCAGTATAGATATTTCAACTACTTACGATGAAGCCCAGGTTGTAACTACAGGTTGAACTTTTTGAGCCTGGCCAGACCTCCGAAAGGCGCAGTGTGGATCAAGATGCGTCGAAATCACTAGTACTATGATAGGTAGATAATCAAGTTCACACATTGCCTCTGAATGGTACGCACCTATCAGTCCTCCGCGACAGAAGATTGGCACTGCGAAAAGCCTGCTAGTCAAAGGTGAGGATGCGGAGACAAAGTCGAACCGCGGAAACAAAAGCCAACGCGTTTGATGACCGTCACGTGGTCGTGGTATGATTCCCGCTACTTTAGTAGTGGGTCTTACAGGAAGTATCGTTTGGTTTTTGGCGGAGAATCGTGCAATTCCCTTACATGGAAATTGCTGAGTCAGAATCGGATCGGATCTTCCGCGCTCCTTCCGCGCTCATCATCGCACGTGCAGGCTCGGGTGCATTTGTCTACTGTACAGTTGTGGCTGCCTCTCGCGCGTCGCCGTCTTCGTTCTGCTTTGCTTTCTGCAACGTCGTCCATCTTCGCCCATTCGCGCTACATCCAATATCATCGCTTTCTGTCTTGCTATCACTCCTCCCTCGCTCTCTGTATTCAGCCGTTTCGAGGCCTTGATGTGCTCATTCTCGTAGAAGTTACTCCGAGATCTCTTCGCGCTTTTCGCTACTGCACAAAACACAGCAAAC